CGGTTGCTTCCTCTCGGATGGGGCGGGGGCCCTAACCCTGCCCTCTTTCTGAGCTGAGCCCCCTTCCCTGCCCCCACTTTTGTCAGGTGGTGCAGACCTGACTCACCTGATGCAGTTCTTCGGGTCCTCATTGCAGTCGATGTTGCAGCGGAAGCGTTCCCAAGCCAGCCAGCCCATGGGAGGCTTCCGCAGGAGCCCATTCTCCAGGACCAGCACCTGGGCCACCAAGGCCAGCATGAGCACTGCAGGGAGGTGGATTGTGAGTGGCTCCCACAGCCCCAGCCCTCTCCCCACCCCATCCACATGCCGCCCAGCCCCGACTTTAGGGGAGCTAGACTCTCCAGCTTAAGGTGGAATGGGCTCTTCCTGCAACTGCTGGCTCCCACCAGGCTGTGAGTGGGTGGACAGTCCCAGGTGTAGGGTGGTGTCTGAGGCCTGGATTCCCCCTGCTGTCACCACAGCAGTGCTGGGATCACCAAAATCTAACACCTGGGGTCACAGCCTTTCTACACCCTGACCAGCTCTACCCACTCCATTCACACAGAACTTGACAGGACACTGTAGCCAGGCTTCAGGTCTCCTGAGCCCCATGCGGGGCTCAATGTTCTCTGTAGGCACCCAAGAGGCTTCGGAAGGGCTTAAGAGGTCAGCTGGTGGGAACAGCACTGTAGGGCCTTAATTTGATTATCTGTAAAATGGAATTTCCACGCTGACTTTATAGGGCTGGTCTCAGCACACCTTGATGTTACAGAAGATAGGGTCTCTGGCTGTGAGGTAGAGGGGGTGAGCAAAGAAGAAGTCTCTTTGGAGGGGAACTGATTCTTGCGTGGGAAGGATTTCCTCTTGGCCCACCTCCGAGAATAAGAGAGGTACAAGTCTCCCCATATGCCCACATCAGGGAAGGAGGCCCAGAAACCACAGGACTGGAACTTCCTCCAGTCAGCCCCTACCCCCCAAGTGGTCACTTACCCTCCCAAAGCCACCCCCCCACCCCCGTCCGTGTAGGTACCTGTCTTCAGCAACATTGCTCTGGACTGAGCGGTCTCAGGACCTGACCAGATCTGCTCTGCTTTTACCAGCTTCTGTATGTCGGGATTTGGAAGCTAAGAAACGTTAGAAAAGCACTGAAAAAAAGAAAGAAAGAAAAGCACTGGGGTCCCTCCTGCTTGGCTAGCCCTGCCGCCCTTAACCTTGGTGTGGATCCCACGCTGGGTGCCCAACCCGCCCTCACAGCCCCCAATCTCTCCCCCCAGCCATCACTTCCCCAAGCCTGGGTTCTTCCGTCGGAAATACTCAACAAGGTATCGTGGACGTTAGACCTCACCTCCTCTGCCGTGCTGGGAACCCCGAGTGCCCAAGGGCGACACTCTGCCAGGCTAGGGTCACAGAGAGGCAGCGACAGACTCGAGGACGCCCAGGAAGAATGGAGGTGGCCAGCCGGGGGCCAGGCCTCCGGACTCCCTCCAGGGCTGGGTTGCCGCCCCCGCCCTCAAAGACCGCAGGCCCAGCGCCCCAGCCCAGGGATCCCACCCAGAGTCGCCCACCCTCCACAGCTTACCGACTCTTCCGCTGCGATTAGAGCCGCCGCCTGGTTCTGCCTCCCGAGTAGACTACAGCCGCAGTCACCTGATTCGTCTACAGCGTTCTAGCGGGGCGGGGCCTGACGGAAGCAAACCTTCCGGCGGAACCTATCAGAATCCCCCTAGCAACGTCCTGCCCCGCCCTACATGGGTCCAGAGAGCCCGCGGAACCTCCCAAAGCCCCTCCTCCTTCGAGCTCCGGCTCTGCGCGCTCCCGAGGCAGGCACGCGCCCACCGCACAGGGTCCCAATCTCCGCCGAGCTAGTCCTTTCACTTCTGCCGGGTCCCTTAAGGCGAGGATTCAGTTCAGTTCAGTTCAGTCGCTCAGTCCTGTCTCTGCAACCCCATGGACTGCAGCACGCCAGGCCTCCCTGTCCATCACCAACCTCTCGGAGTCTACTCAAATTCGTGTCCATGGAGTCGGTGATGCCATCCAACCATCTCATGCTCTGTCGTCCCCGTCTCCTCCCGCCTTCAACCTTTCCCAGCATCAGGATCTTTTCCAAGGAGTCAGTTCTTCGCATCAGGTGGTCAAAGTTTTGGAGTTTCAGCTTCAGCATCAGTCCTTCCAGTGAATATTCAGGACTGATTTCCCTTAGGAAGAACTGGTTGGATCTCCCTGCCTCTCAAGAGTCTTATGGATAGGGCACTGTAGATGCTTATTTAATAGCTGTGGCGTGGATACTTGCTGAGGGCTTTTTTTAAAGAAAAATGAGAGCATGTCCTGGAGTATAGCCCTTAGTAAACCGCTCAGAAACTGTAGTGGAAGATGAATAGGTGCTACGAACGGCTTTTTAAAGCCAGGAGACTCTCCTACCTTGCCTGACACTTGGGCCATCTGTTATGCTCATCCAGACACTCTGCATTCTTCCCTCTTTCATTCATCACATACCTATTGAGCAACGACTAGATACCAAACACTTTATTCTTGGCACCTTCACTTGGATGGTCAAAGGCGTCTCAAATACCTGCCAATTTCATATCTCAGGTAATGGCAACTTTCCTTCCAGATGCTCAGGCCAAATCGTTAGAGTTCTCCTTGGCTCCTCTTCCCCTCACTCCCTACATCCAGTCTCTGCAGACCGAGTACTCTCCACCTTCAAACCCCATGCTGAGGAATTTCCCTCCGGTCCGGTGGTTAAAACTCTGTACTTCCACCGCAGGGGGCGCTACTTCCAAACTTGGCTGAGGAAGGAAGATCCTTCAGGCCCATGCAGTGCATCCAAAAAAACAATCTGGCCATCTCTACTCTCCCAACCCCCATCATATCTTCCCCGGATTACTCCAGCATCCTCCTCACTGGTCTGCTTCCACTCATATTTTTTTCTTCTTAGCAGCCAGAGAAATCCTTAAAAACATAGCTCAAGACCTCACTCGAAGGCTTCCCTGGTGACTCAGTGGTAAAGAATCTCCCTGCCAATGCAGGAGACACGGGTTTGATCCGTGGTCCAGGAAGATTGGACATGCCGCACAGAAACTAAGCCCAGGCGCCGCAACTATTGAGCCTGTACTCTGGAGCCTGGGAACTGAACTACTGAGCCCACGGGCTGCAACTACTGAAGCCTTCTCACCCTAGAGCCAGTGCTCATCAACGAGAAGACACGGCGATGAGAAGCCTGCACACTCCAACTAGAGAAAAGCCCCAGCAGCAATGAAGATAGAGCACAATAAACAATTATTTAAAAAAAAGGAAACACCTCACTCAAGACCTGGTGATGGCTGTTCATTTCAGCCTGGAGTACCAACCCTCAGAGATTTACAAAGCCCCACCCCACACATTCTAACCCAGTATCCTGCGGCTCCTGCCACTCCCCAACACACACACACACACACACACACACACACACACTCACGCCTCCTTTCAGTTCCTCAAACACAACAGGTCTCAGAGCCATTGCAGTAGCTGTTCCTTCTGCCTGGAATGCTCCCCCCTCCAGATTCTGGCATGACTGGCTCCCTCGTTTCCTTCAATTATTTCTCAAATGTCGCCTAGGTGAGGCCTACCATGACCATTCTATTTAAAACTGCAACCTTCCCACCCTGGCCCCCCCACCATTCCCAGACTCCTTGTCCCTGCTCTGTATTTTCCACAGAACTTATTGCCTCCTACCTCATTTATTATGGTGTCTATTAGTAACTGAATAAAAGTTAGTGGGGGAGACAGATAATAAACAGAAAATAAAAGCATGAAATGTAGGGAACTTTTTTTTATATAAGTGGTTAGTGTTATCATGCAAATACAAACCAGGGATGTGGTAGAGACCTGCGGACAGGCTGCTTTCTCATGGCTGGGGAGGGGACAGGAACTGAGGCCTAAATAATGTGAAGGAGCTCGGAGGAGTTAAGAGCCTTGGGGTAGCGCTGGGAAGCAGGAGCGTTCTTGCAGGAACTGCCACGGCCAGAACTCTCTAGAGGTGACAACCAGCAAGTTCATGGGCAGATGTTCTGAGCTCACCAGGCTCCCCGGGCTGTCAGGAAAGCCTCCCCAGTGTTTGGTTGTGCACTCCTGCGTCCTTTTACCGCAGGCCTACCTGTCCACTGACCCCAGGCAGAGCCTGGGCGCTGAAGATGGGTTGCAGGCTGGCAGGAGTGAAGGAAGCAGAAATGGATAATCCCCTCCACCCCGGAAGCGGAGATCCAGCCGACTCCAGGGGGCTGGGTTGGGTGGCTGGGTTGGGTGGCTGGGAAGCTGGGCTGGGCCTCGCGGACTGGATAGGAGCCCGCCCAGAGGAGGCGTCTGGGCCGAGGCCGTCCCAGACTTGGCTCTGTGCGAGAAGTGGGCCGGGCGGAGAGAGGGGGGCTGGAGAGGGGGAAAGAGAAGGTCTCGAAGTTCTTGGGAGGTGGCCTGGGTCCGAGGCCCCCGGATGGCCCGAGGTGGGACTCCGGGTTCGAGGCCGGCCACCGCCGACCAGCACTGGGCCTCACGCCGGGCACGGCCGGCCGGGCCTCAGTTTCCCCCCGGCGTGGATCGCGGGGCCTAGTGAGTCGTGGGCGGGGAGGGGTGAGGGCGGTAACTCGAGCCGCCCAGGCGGGGTCTCTCGGCTCCCGAGGCCACGTTTAGCGGCCCGGACGGACGGAGGCGTGGGGTCCGGAGTCGAAATGGCCCCGGACCACCCCGCGGGCCGCGCTCCGGGGCTTCAGGGGCGTGGAGGTGAGAGCGGGCCCGGCGGGCTCGGGAGGAGGCGGCCCCGGGAAGGCGTGGCCCGCGGGGACGTGGCGGGGCCGCTCCCCGCGCGATGGGGAAACCGAGGCGGCAGCCGCGCCCTGAGTCTGCGGCTCTGGCCGCGGAGTTCCCGGTGAGGCCACTCCGTTTCTGGGCGACAGCGGGTCAGACACCCCCCCCCCCCCCAGGATCTCCTCTCCGCGCCCCAGTGCTGGACGGCCCCCGCCGCGGTGGCCATGGCCAGTGGGTCCCACGCCCCAGCCCGCCGTTCCTCTAACAAAAGAATCTAGAAAAATGCGGTGCAGCGGATTCCCGCCGCAGTTGAAATGCGGGCCCCGTTAACCCGGCAACCGGGTGGAGAGGAGACGCCCTTCCTCGGGGAGGGGAGACAGTTAGCTCGGCTCAGGATCTCCTCTCCGCGCCCCAGTGCTGGACGGCCGGGAGGTGAGGCCACTGCTCAAGGAACCAACCAACTGTGTTTTTCTCTTCCTTCTCCTCCGACCACCATCGGAGACCGGCCCCGCCCCCATCTCAGGACCCGGCTTGCTTCTCCATAGCCCTTATCAAGACGGGTCTTCACGTTATTGAATTGATTTTAAAAGACATTATTACTTATTTTTGTCCTTTTTTTTTTTTTTTAACAGGTTGCCTCCCCCTCGGAAATGTAGGCTCTAGGAAGGAGGGGCTTTATTTTGTCCACTATTGTATTCAGTTATTTTAACAAATACTTTCTGAGGGCCTCCCCAAGCCCTGCAAGGGGCTGGAACCAAGTCCATTTGGTTGGTTCTAGACATTCTGGGGCTGGGGACAGCGCTGTAAACACAAAGGAGATCATTGTGGGATGAAGGCTGCTGTTGGGTCACCTTTGATCAGACCACCTTCCTGATCAGGACCACCTTACATATAGTGATCAGGGCAGGCCTCTCAAATTAGGTTACTTAAAGACCACAGATAAACTATGTGGCAAGTACTAAAAGGGAAAAGCAACAAGCTATGTGGGCACTTAACTCTGACCTAGCCTTAGAGGGCAGGGCGCTGAGGTCCAAAGAGTGATGATCAGGACCATGGGACTCAGATCCTTAAATTGCTTTTAAGTGCTGGGCCTGGGTGGACCTGTGTGTGTATGTGTGTTTTGGGCAGGGCAGTAGATTATCAGGGGTCAGGAAGCGCTTCCTGGAGGAGGTGGTGGTTTCATTTGACCTGAGGCCGAGTAGGAGGCTGAGTAGGAGTAAATCCAATCCTTTAGGATGGATTGACTGTGTTTGAGAATTCTTTTGCAGGTGTCCTGGAAACCACGCGGTCGAAGGGCTGAGCCGTGTGGCCAGACAAGAGAGGCCCCTACCCCTGCCCAGGGAGCTCTGAGGGTAAGTGGGTCACTGCCAGGACTTGCCCCCCAAAGAGGTGAGGGAATCAGGAGACCAAGCTCTGCTTCTCATTGGCCACGTGATCCTGGGAAGTTCACCTTCACCGTTCTGGTCTCAGTTTTCTGTGAGTCAGGAGAACAGTTGGATTATATGCCACTTGTGTGGGCTTCCTTGGTGGTTCAGATGGTAAAGAATCTGTCTGCAACATGAGAGACCTGGTTCGATCCCTGGGTCGGGAAGATCCTCTGGAGAAGGAAATGGCAACCCACTCCAGTATTCTTGCCTGGAGAATCCCATGGACATAGGAGCCTGGCGGGCTACAGTCCATGGAGTCACAAAGAGTCGGACACAACTGAAGTGACTTAGCACACACGTATGGGGCATCAACACTTGGTAGCTGAGGTTGATCTTACTCCACCACGCCCTGTGTTTGTACTTGTTACCGAGAAGGCCCCTATCTGAACCCACACTGATCGAGGAATGAGGCAGGCCTACCCTACTCCAGCCCTATCTGGCCCTGCAGGCAGCAAAAGGACAACTGTGCCATTATCAAATGAAAGGCCAGCAGGGACCCGCGGAAACCCTGGATGGTTGGCTTCAGGGTTGGAGCTAAGGGGCCCTCAGATTAGGGGGTGACATAAGCACAATGGTTTTTATGAGCTTGTGGTCCATTTCAGCCCAGCTGATGCCTTTTCCTTTGGGTTTTAAAAAGCTGTTCACAGCCCTGCCATACTTCCTGGTCTGACACAAATGACATTTTCCTTTTCTCTGAGTCCTCTGATATCCAGTTTTGTTTTTTTTTTTTTCGCATGATCCTCACAACCCTTAGAGAGCAAAGGCAGGGAGACTAGCCCATTTCACAGATGGAGACACTGAGAACCTTGGGGCACAGAAAGTAAGAAGAGGCCACGGGGCTGGGGCCCAGGTCTTCTCCAGAGCCAGTACTCTTTTTCCCACTGGGGGCAAGGGCTGCCTCCCTCTCTGATCGCTGTTCGCCTCTGTCATCTCACAGTTCTCATGGGAGCCATGAAGCTGAACGAGAGAAGTGTGGCCCACTACGCACTGAGCGACTCTCCCGCAGATCACACAGGCTTCCTGCGCACTTGGGGAGGCGCAGGGATGCCACCCACCCCCAGTGGCGCTGGCCGAAGGTGCTGGTTTGTCCTCAAGGGCAACCTTCTGTTCTCCTTTGAGAGTCGAGAGGGCCGGGCCCCTCTGAGCCTGGTGGTGCTGGAGGGCTGCACGGTGGAGCTGGCTGAGGCTCCCGTGCCTGAAGAGTTTGCCTTCGCCATCCGCTTCGACGCTCCTGGGGTGCGCCCACACCTGCTTGCGGCAGATGGGCCGGCGGCTCAGGAGGCCTGGGTGAAGGCTCTGTCTCGGGCAAGCTTTGGCTACATGCGCCTGGTGGTGCGCGAGCTGGAGAGCCAGTTGCGTGAAGCCCGCCACAGCCTGGACCTGCACCGCCGTTCATCCTGGAAGGCCGTTTCCAGCCGCTGCAAGCCCCAGGCTCCTGACCGCTGGTCTCCTGGCCTGGAGAACGGCCACTCCCTCTCCAGAGATTGCAGCCCAATGGGCTTGGTGGAAGAAGGGGGCAGCCGGCCAGCAGGGAGGGGCTTGGCCGAGTGGGAGCTGCAGGGCCCTGCCAGCCTCCTCCTAGGCAGGGGGCAGAGCCCCGTGTCCCCCGAGACCTCCTGCTTCTCTACCCTGCATGAGTGGTACGGCCGGGAGATTATGGAGCTGAGGCGGGCCTGGCTGCAGAAGGCCCAGGAGAGCCCACCAGAATGCAAGGACCAGGACAGACCCTGAGCCTGGGCCCTGCGGGGGCTCCTTGTCCTGCTGGGCAGGACACCAGGGCCAGCGCTTCTTCAGGAGTTTGAGGTTTCACAGGTTCATTTTTTTTTTTTAACTGCTTTCTGAAGTTGCTTTTGAGGTGAGCTCTCTCCTTCCTGCTTTTTTAGGTTTTTCCCTCAGGGAAGAACCAAGTCCACCTTCATGCCTAGAGGGAACTGAGAAATCATTAACTTTCAACCCATTTATTTCCTGAGGCCCAGAGAGGAGACGTGGCTTGTTCAGCAGTCACAGAGCAAGACTCAGGTCTGCTGACTCTGCACTAGACTGCCCCTCTCTCAGGGGATATTAATGAAGTGGGTAATATCACATGACCACAGGCCACTCTGCCTTCACCTATACAATTCTACAGTTTCCATCATGGGGAATCTTGTGTAAATACCCGAAGTTGCCTGCAGTGTTGGCTTGAGGGGCTGACATTGTCAAAAAAGTGGATTTACTGTGTCACAGGGGTTTCTGGGGCCTGGCTCCTCCTGAGTGGTGAGAAGATTGAACATGGGACCCCTATCCTGCAGTGAAGACAGGGCCCTTTGGAGGGAGAGGGCCTTTAGCTAGCAAAGAGGGATTTATCCTGATTAGAAAGTGTTAGGGCCCCTCTTCTTTCCCTGACTGCCCTGTCAACAGATGGTGCTGGTCACTGCCCCAGGAGGGGTCAGTAGCTTTTCTGTTAGCAGAAACTCTGTCCTCAGCTGCCAAGTGGGAAGCTGAAGTGGGCTTCCTGGGAAAGTCAGTGACTTTGAATTTCAGTCCTGGGCATTCTAGGAGCTTGGACATAGGATTCCTGGCACCCTGTGATAAACTCTTCTTTCTTGACTGGGCCCCTAAAGGTATTCCTGATCCAGACACCCCTAGGAACTCCTTCAGTCTTTCTTATTACCCAGTGTGTATCTGCCAAGACCCTCTGGTTCCTACTGTCACCAGCATGGTGCCAAGCATTTTCTTTACCAGTTGTTCTCAGAGGCAAAGTGACTGGGTAGACAGGGCCAGAGGCCGATCAGCCTGGCACCCTAAGGATTCTGGTGGCAGCGACTGGATGGAAGATTCAGAGCCTCGTCCAGTATATACAGTCTCTCCCTTCTTAGCTTCTCTCCCTCACTGGGGTCTTATGGGGTCTTATGAGGCCTGACGAGGGGCCAGCTAGGCCTAGAGCCTTCGGCTTCACCTTAAGAGCCTCTTTCAGTCCAGGAGGCTGCGATGCTGCCTAGGGTCCAGGACCTGCTCCGAGGAAGCTAGGTTTGTTGTTTGTTTCCTAAGAAGAGGGGCTACCTTCCTAGCCATGTACGGGAGTCCCACAGCCTGTGTCTCTTGTTTTATACACAGATATTATAGGTTTTTTGGTTGTATTTCTTATTGTTACAGTGCTTTTTATACGATTAAAAACACCGTGTTTATTACTCGTATTGGTTCTTTTTTTAGCAGCTTGTGTGAAAGCCCCTATTTCCCCCCTTTCAGATATATTTTCCACTTTGTTGTACATAACATATACCGTGGCATGAAATAAAATTCCAAAATCATTTAAGTAGCACAAATAATAAATTTGAATTGTATTTTTAAAATGTTCAAAAAAATACGATAGTTTGAAGTTCAATTAAAGTGGTCTTTCATTTCAGTAACTCTGCTCGAACAAGCCTTGGCTGTCCTGGGTGTCAGAATAACAGAAATTTGCAAGTTTCACAAGAACTACCCGTCAGATGGTCCCGCCCACCAAGCCTGGAATGAGGCGTGTACCCGGGCCTCGGCGTCATCCTCGTGACGTCACCATGTGCCGCAGCAGGAACTAGGTGCACTGCGCAAGTCTGTGAGCCGAATCTCTCGTCCGATCTCTACAGTCTCGCGAGGCTTAGGGCGGCGTTCTTCCCGAGGGCGTCACTGGGCCGGGCCACTGGGGTTCTGGGACCCGGACTAGGGGCGGAGCTGGGAGATGGCGTCCGGAGCAGCTCGGTGGTTCGCATTGGTACGCGTCGGATCTGGGGCTTCCCGGAGCGGGCTGATCCTGAGGAAAGGTGGTGATGTTTCTGCCGGACGGAGCTGCTCAGGTCGGAGTCTGGTACCGTCGAGGTCAGTCATCGTTACTCGCAGCGGCGCCATTTTGCCCAAACCGGTGAAAGTGAGTGTCTGCCTGAAGGCGGGGCGAAGGGGCCGAGGCCAATCATTGTGGGGAATGTGTGCAGGTTGACGCTGATTGACAGCTGCAAAGGCCAGTCGAATGACTGCCTTAGACCGGAAGCCGGATCAAGGACAAATTTTTGCGCTGAAGCACTGCTAGTTTTGACAAATGGGAGGAAGTGGCCGGTTTAGTTAGTGGTCGTTGTTGAGCTGGGTACAGGGAGATAGGAGATGGGGGTCGAGAGCGGAAAAAGACGGCACTTTGCACTAGCTCATCCAGAGGAGCGCAGTGCCCTGGCTGTTTGGAGCCAAAGGAGTCTGCTTTATGCATAAAGTATAGACAAGTCTTGTAACTTAACTACTTCGTAGTTGATGGGATGAAAAACGCATTGGTAAATAAACGGTTCGTGGGACAGACCTTATCTTTTTGTGAGTTTGGACCTAGTTTTTAATTCATGTAACTAGGTGTGCAGGGAATTATTACAATCAGTGTTTTTACAAATGAAAAATGAGGGGCCAGAGTAGTGAAGCCAGTATGCAAAGCTAGCAGCTGAGTTAGGTTCTGGAATTCAGATTTCCTATTGGTAAAGCCCCCACCAGGTCCTGTTTTCCCACTACTGAGTGTTATTACATGCCCTCAGTACCCTTGGAGTTTTTTCAGTAAAATAAGAACAATCCCTTATACAGAATAAGTTTGCTTTTTTTTTTTTATTCCAGGTCTGTGCGAGAGTTACAAAACAAAAACAAATTCTTTTTTTTTTTTTTCCAACCTCCAGGCCTCCAACNAAACAAATTCTTTTTTTTTTTTTTCCAACCTCCAGGCCTCCAACCTCCAAGGCCTTCTCCACTCTTGTAAACATTGAATTTAAACATATATCTCCATTTAAGTGGTTGAGAAAGTAGAAAGCATCAGATGAGCATTTCCTGATTTCCTAGAGCTACGAGCAAACTTAAAAACTTCCATGCATGTACATTCATCTTTTTTTCCCTTTCTTCCTTTTAAAATGAAATGTATCATTTCTTATCTATCGTGATTTTACTTGATCTCGACCTTATTCTCTCTTAAATCTTTGTTATATAAGTTATTTTGTTCCTTTTTCTATACCTAATTCTATTCCTTGGTATAATTCTATACCCAGATTTAAACATTTTCTAACTTTAATATTTCTATGCTTAAAAAAATGCTCCCCTGAAATTTCTTCCTAGCTACTGTATTATCCTAATCCTCTGTTCACAGTAAAGCTATCCATAGGGTTTTCTATACTTATATTCACATTTCCTCTTGCAGTCTCTCCTCAGCCCGTAACAATTAGGGATTTAGCAAATCTACCTCCACTGTTATTGTTCACACCAGTTACCAAGAGCCTGTGTGTAGCTAGATCCAATAAACCCTTCCCAAACCCTTACTTAATTTCTTAAAATACATCTGAAGCATAATTGACTTCTGCTTGCAAATGGTCTTCCTTTGACATTCATGCCACCACATTGCCCTGGCTTTCCTTCAACCTTTCTCATTTCTGTATCTCAGCATCTTTTAAATACACAACAAATTCTTTTAAAGCTAGTGTGGCCAACGCAAGCTTACACAGAGTGAATTCAAGCCTGTTTCACAGCAAGAAACCAGGTCCATGTTAGGAAAGAGCAGCCTTTATAAAGAGGCACGATTGAAAAAAAAACATTTTTTGAGGTGGGGGGGGAACCCCTGTAGAGAAATAATGAGAGGAAATGTTGAGATTTTATTGAAACTTCTCAAGTCTATTTAAATAGCTAGTCTTTTACTATGAAGACATACTGTTTTCAAAATACACGTTTCTAAAATGTAATATAGTGAAGATAAATTGGTCAGGCACCAGGGAACCAGTTAAAGAACTCTACAGAATATCTCCACTGTACATGTTCATAATTTTGTAATCTGCTTGCATGTATTTAGTGACTTACTGAAGCAAAACTGAACTCTTATTTCCCTAGTCCACCTCCTAGTACCTTCTCACCTGTTTAAAAGCATCTGCAAGTAACTAATAGCTCTTGCCCTAATTTGGACACAACTGAAGTGACTTAGCAGCAGTAGCCCTAATTTTTAGATGTAAGAGTGCCTTGTATTTTTCTTTCTGATGTACAGTTTGGTGGCCATAGAATCACTCTCTCTCTTCTTCTAATCATTTTTCTTGCTCCAAATTTTTTCAAGGACTTTATAATCAGGTTGCTTATGATGAATCTGAGGTCCACAGGAGGGAATGCCCCTGAGAGGGCCAGGCCTGTGGTCTTCCTAGAGTGGGCACTGGAGCTCACAGCCACCACTCTGACCCTCTGCAGATGTCCTTTGGCCTTCTCCGCGTGTTCTCCATTGTGATCCCCTTTCTCTATGTCGGGACACTCATTAGCAAGAACTTTGCTGCTCTACTTGAGGAACATGACATTTTTGTTCCAGAGGACGACGACGATGATGACTAACAGGTAAGATTTGCTTCTCACCCCTACATGGACCAGGAGCGGGAAGTGGGGTGGAGCCTCTGAACTGTGATGTGATTTGAACACTCCACGCAGGAGCACGGACTTTTAATGAATTTACACACTTGCTGACTAACATCTTTTACGTCACCTTTTCTCGATGTTGGATGAAGGAAACTATCTTATTGACTTACAAAATTCACTGGGGTCTCTTCCAACCAGGTTGAATCCCAACCACCCTTTTCTGTTTGCCCTTTTGAAAGTGTTAGTCGCTCAGTCGTGTCTGATTTCTGTGACCTTGATGAACTGTAGCCCTTGAGGCTGCTCTGTCCGTGGGATTCTCCAGGCAAGAATGCTGAAGTGGGCAGCCATTCCCTTCTCCACGGGATCTTCCGTTCTGACCCAGGGATTGAGTGCTGGGCTCCTGCATTGCAGGCAGATTCTTTGCAGTTTAAGCCTCTAGGGAAGCCCAGTTGCCCCTTATGTACCTTCAATTCTCTCAACCCACGAACTCTGTAGACAATTTAGTATGCCTTACACGCCTACCACAGCTTCATTTCATCAGCTCCACACTGAAATTTAGAAACTACAGGCCCTTGTCAGTGCGCTCCGGTTACCGGTGCAGTCTGTGCACAGGCACTGCAGCCTGGCTCACACACTGCTCACACACCTTTCTCCAGGGCCAGTTCCATTCAGTTTTCTTGTGTTGACTGCCCTAATAAGTGCTGCTTGGCTGTATTACTTCTGTAAATAAGAACCCTCCTGACTCTTTGGTTTTTAAGGCTTGTCATGATCTGGTGACACCTGTTATTCCAGCCTCATGTTCCATATTCCCAACCACATACCTATCCCCAGTTATTCACTATGTCTTGAATTCCCCACTCTTACCCACTCCCAGGCAGTAGCCCATTATCCCTCCCGACTGAAAGACTGTTTCGCACTTGTGCTTATTTCTACCAGTTCTTCATTATCTTTGATGAAGTCTTTCCTCATTCCTCCACTGGAAAGTGACTGCTGTGTCCCCTTACTGATCAGTACCACTTGTGGTATTCAGTATTATACGCTTAAGATATACCCTAAACTCTACTCGACTACATTCTTGCTGCAGGAAACATGTTTTTTTTTTTTTCTTAAATATCTTTGGGGCCCCAGTGCCCGGTCTCTGGTGAATGTAAATTTATGAATGAATAATTGAATGTACTCAAAACCGCCTTTCTCCTGCCATGTTTGGTAGAACCTCTGTGGAATTCTCTCTCAGTATATGGTTAGAGGTCTGTTTTGTCAGCCAGTTCATTGCTGCTTTCCTTTTTTGCAGGGCATGGAGAAAGGACAGAAGAGAAAGCCCTAACTTAAGAAATGGTGATGCTTGCAGCCTCTCCTCCTTTCCCGTCAGATGGGCCCGGGGAAAGCCCTCAGCCTCCCAACTCCAGTGAAGACCCCTACACGGTCTGTGACCACAGCCCAAATCCCCAGGCTCTGGGAGGTTCCCGGAGATGTGCTGTCCACTGAGCATAATCAGGTTATGAAAAACCATAATAAACATCAACTCTGTGTGACTGAATGATGGCTGGTCTCTCAAGTCAGCTGTAGCTGCAGTTTCTTGTCCCTGCTGTCCTGTCTCTATCCACTGAACAAATAGGTCTTTGATTTACAACCCAGGGTCTTCAGGCCCCTGTGGAACCACAAAGTAATTTGGGGAACCTGGGACAAATTTTCATTATTTATAAAAGCCTAACAGTTGCACAGGCTAACTAAGGGCTGAAACTTTTGTGCTGAGTAACACTGGCTAGCTATCACATGCAATCAGAAACAGCTTTGAGTGTTTAAATAAGTCCTTGAGAAATACCACTTTTTAGCAAAACATGGGTTCCTTAGCTGAAAAAATAATAAAGGGGCTGTTGGTGCTGAAAAATTTGGGACTCCTCAGGGTGATTGTATCTATAGATACTGAAGCCCCTTTTCCAGCATTTAGACTGTCCAGGGATGGACCAGAGACCACCACCATCCAGAGCCAACAGTTCTTTAAGTGGGGTCAAAATGTTTTCCTGTCACTTGAGCTACACCTCAGTTTACAAAGGGAATATTTCTGCTCCGTGTGGGCACTGAACAGCTGTGTCTCTAGCAGAATGCCTGAGAAGGAAGTTAACTTCATTTTAAGGACCAGCATTGTTGCAAGTAGAGGGCTAGGCTGCTGAGCAGACATTTTCTTCAGAACCCAGGGAAAGAGCCCAGCTTGTCAGCTCCACCTCTCAGCCTCTTAGTGCTGCTCTAACCCTTTCCAACAGTAAGAGCTGGTTAATTTTGGATAATCTGTGCCATCATACCAAGCTATCCACTCCTGGTGGCTATAGAAACAGCCAAGTTAACGAAGCCATCTAGCACATACCCAGAATGACAGTTTCTGAGCAGATGGCCTCTTCCTTCTGTTTACCGACATGCAAGGCTCGGAGAAAAGAGAAATCTAATTTACTGGAAACACCACACTTCAGGAAAAGGGAAAGAACAGGTGGTGTGTATACCGGACCCAACTTGTTCAGACAAAAAGTGAGAGACTACAGAAGTAGAGCTTCCCACTGGGGAACCAATGGAATATCTTGAAATGACCGTCATATGTTGAGTTTATTTTTGCTTTAAAATATTTAAATATCAACATGCACCTTTTCCATTGAGTGATTTCACGGGTCGTGCCCAACATAGAACTTGGACAGGAAATCCTTTGGCCTTGGTGCTTCTGTTTCATGGAAAAATCGCATAACATGTGTCCGCTGCTTCCACACTTTAATAGTTTCTTCCAGCTCCATCTTTCCCTGTACAAGTGAGGGGACAGGGCTCAGTCAAGGGTGGCTGGGTGGAAGGAATACAACACTGAAGGCCAGAGTTCGATCCTCTCTCGCACTGACTTGTTGAGTGACCTTGGGCAAGTAATATGCCCTGTCCAGACCATAGTTTCTGCATCTGGAAAATGAGGTGGTGGACTAAATAATCTCTGAGGCCTGTCAAATATATATATTTTTAACCCTCTGGCTGACTGGTTCCAAGGGGATAACTTTTGGTCACCAGGCCTCTGCCCCATGACTGCCTAACCTGACTGGCTTAACATGTACCATTCTTTCCACGTTACTTACTGGTCCGTGCTGAAGTTGCCACTGATGCTAGTGAGACAGACCAGAGAGACAGAATCAAGCCCAGGATCTGACTCCACTCACTCAGCCAACTGGCCTGCTCTTCTGGCTGTAAACTGGCAACGTGGTGAAGCGGTAACTTGCATGGATGAGGTTCAAGAAGAATTCAAACTTCCCTCTTTCTTTTTTTAGTTTTAAAATGCAAGCCCCAGTGAATTTTCCCTTGAATAATCTTATAATCTATTTAACCAGGTGAGAACCTCCAATCAATTGTTCCTTTGAAACACTAGGTAACAGTTGCTGACCCAGTTGTTGCTTTTAAATTTGGGTGATAAAATATTCATCTGGAAAGCTCTGGACAAGTTGCCTTCTCTTTTAAATAACAGTTGCTGACCCAGTTGTTGCTTTTAAATTTGGGTGATAAAATATTCATCTGGAAAGCTCTGGACAAGTTGGCTTCTTCTTTTTAAATCAGGGAGAGTCAGTTACCTTAATTACCAGAAGATCAACCACCCTGGGGTCTGTGACGTGCGCATTCTTCTTAAACATTTCCCGGACTTTATCACGTCCCTGTTTCACAGAGATGTCTAGCTGGAATAGATGCACTAGAGAGAAAACATGATTCAGGATAGAGATGGTTAAAATGTGTTTTTTAAAAATTGAGTCAATGTCTACTCACTGAATACATAGGTTGCCCATTCACTCCATTCACCAAATATTAGCCTGAGTCTAAGCTCGGTACTTGAGGATGTGAAGAAGCGTGAGATGTGGTACTGTCTCAAGAGCTTACATTTTGTTTGGGGAAACAAGCCCACTGCATTTGAAGAGGCAGCACAGCACAGCTCAAGAGTACGAATAACCTGGGTTCAAATCCCAGCTTTGTCGTCTATCAGCTGTATGATTCTGTATACGTTAAACTTCTCTATGCCTGAGGGTGTTTATTTACCGGTGAAATGAGGAGGCGAGCAGCACATACTAACTCCAGAGCTGCTGTGAGGATTCTATGAGAGAAGGAAAGATGCTTAGGCCAGTGCCTGGCATGGAATAAGCTCTCAATAAATGTCAGCATTATTATTACACAGAACAACCAGCAAGAGATGCAGGGCTGACATTAACGTACAACGATACGGTATAGGTTTGTGTACCATGCAAACTTAAGAGCTGAGGGAGGCTGCTGAGTGTGCAGATAGGGAAAGGTGTCAATCCAGCAGGCAGTTACTACCATATTCGGTTTACCAAGGGGAAGGAGAGGGAAATTTAAGATCTAACAGCTCCTGCTTTCTAGGTCTTAAATCCACCAGTGCAAACACTGCAAAAATCACAATATTCAGTAATCCCTGATTAAGTGCTAAAACAGTGGGACAGACTCAGTGACCTGGGAGTTCGACAAAACATACATGTGTCTTTGAAAATTAGGGTTCAGTCATTTCATTCTCATCTCTGGCAGTTGGCCTTCAGTGGATTTGCTGATGACAAGGACATGAACGGAGTCTTGTATGGTAGGTAGATGGGATAAGGAGGGAAGAAAGGGGCACATAAGGTAAGCAGAAAGCATAACCAGGCTCATAGACTAGAATGAGCACTGTGGTTGAGGAGACCAGTGGGCTCATTGGTGAGAATACCCTGCGGTGTGGCCATTCCTGTGACAGGTCCACTCTAGTCTATGGAGCTATTACAGCCAGCTCTGAAAACCATGAGGGCCATCTCATGACTGAATTAACCAACAACAAAGCATGAATCTTTAATTATACAGGTAGCTTAGTGACAGCAATAGAAAAATAAAGCTCTGCTGAGGGAAAGAGCATGCCAGGCTGACTCAACCAAAGAATAAGCAACAGCAGAATCTAACAGGAGAAACTGCACCCCAGCTTTACAGGAAAGTGTTAAAGAACTCGTCTCCAGTGGAGTGCTGGAGCAGCCTGCCATGATGAGCCAATTATACAAAGCTCTTCCCAAATGTGCCGTCAGCGACTCCACTGAGAGCCTAAAATCAACCGTGGGGGCAGTATTCACGGCACTGAAAATGGCAGGGGCTTTCCTGGTGGTCCAGTGGTTAAGAATCCGCCTGCCAATGAAGGGGACACAGGTTTGATCCCTGCTTTGGGGAGATCCCACACACTGGGGCAACTAAGCCCTTGCGCCACGACTAACTGAGCCCACACGCCGAGAGCGCGAGCTTCTGGGTAAGAGAAGCCCGGGCACCACAACGAAGAGCAGCCTCAGCCCTCTCACGGCAACTAGAGAACATCTGAGCAGCCACAGAGACCCAGCACAGCCAAAACACACCACAGTATCACATCAGGAATTTTAGAAAAGAGCCAGCAAAGAGACAGTAAGACAGAGACACAAATTATTGCAAACCAACCTGGATCCTCAACGTTGGAATCTTACCACTAGAGCGCTGTGGGGACTTGCCTGAAGTCAGACAACTGATCCCTGGCAAACAGAGGCCAAGAATCCAGGCTGTTGGTTCCTTAATTTACAATTAAGGAAAGGAGTATGAGGAATCTTCCCCCTGCTATCAGTGCTTACCTCTCCTACATTTTCATACTAGAATTCGGTCCAACCTCAGGAGAAAAACCAAGGTGCCTCCATGCACACGAGCGGAGCTGGTGTCCACCTGACTCCCATTCCCCAAGGTCTCCCGAACCACACACCAGTGCACTGGGCGTGTGAATCTTCTCAGGAATATGTTCACAGGCACAAAGGCAAAGTTTTGCTTACAATGTTGTTCAAAGATCCCTGAAAGTCTCTCCTCTCAGGTTAAGAATCCTTGTTTCTAAAGAGACAAATTCCATAGCTTTGTCCCAGCTGTCCTCCTATCCCACCCCCCTGAACACACCCCTTCACCCTTGAGACAGGCTACAGGAAGGCAATCAGGACAGCTAAGCACCAGTCTGCCGAACTGTTCTTTGGTCTAAATCGGTGGCCGTCAAACCTGTGATGATTCTGCCCACCAGAACACTTGGCAACATCTGGAGGCATTTTTGACGGTCAGAGCGACGGGGAAGAGTGCTAATGGCATCACTGGGTGGACGACAGGCATGTTGCTAAACATCCTACAAGGCACAGGGCAGTCTCCACAACAAGGAACTATCCAGCACAGATGTTGCTGTCGAGAAGCCCTGGTGTAAACCAATTCCAACTGTTCCTTCTCAACTCACAGATTCCTGGCTTACTCTTTGAATCCTGAATATTTTAATTTCAATTTTAAAAGCATCTGCGAGGCTCAAGAGGAAGATATGAAAGTGCCCCTTCTGGATGAAGGTGACTTCCACGGTGCGTGTTTTCCTCAAGTTACTGTTAAGGCTTTTCTGAGTCAGGAAGGCTCGACACATGAGGAAGGATGACACTGGTACGGTTCTCAGTCATTTGCTCCAATTCATTTTGGGAGCATTTATACCAAGTGCCAGGAGATCCTGAGATGGGAAGGTAGCATGGTGTGATGAAAAAGAGCATGGGATCTGGGGTCAAATGAGCTGGGTAAGGTCTCCACACCATCATGAACAATGACCTTGGCTGGGGTACAACTCCTCAGTCTGCTTCCTCATCTAAAACACAGGAGAGAAAATAACCTCTGACCTAACTCCTTTACAGGAATGTGGTAAAAATCAACTGACAACATCTTAGTAACACACTGATACAGATGTTAACTGTTACAAATTGCAGCATTTATTTCCCATGCCTCTATTATGTTTGGGGTTTTAATGATCTGGTTATATGCCTATTTTCCTGAGTAGAACATAAGACTCTTGAAGGCAGGGTTGTGTTTTAATCACTTTTCTATCTCTCTAGGCATCTAGTACTGACCCTGTAGTACAAGAAGTACCCAGTAAAATGGAAATTAAATGAATAGTTTCTATAGAAAGTCTCCTGTCACACTGTAACCAGCAAGCAGCATGTATTATTTTTTTCAAAGGAGGGAATCTGCGGAGGTTTTGTTCTGTGCTTCCATGCAGAGGCAACCACCCAGGCAAATGGCAGTCTGTTCCAAGTGTGCAGCATAACTGGGCCCTGTGAGATTTCAGGGAAAACTACAGCAGGAGCTGAGCAGACAATCAGGGTCTGATGGTGTGATGTGAGACAAGCTTATGTGCCTCAGTTTTCTCATCTGTAAGACAGGGAAACAACTGGAACCCACACCACAGTGAGGCATCTGGCACAGTGCTGGGCCACATGTTTGCATTTCAATGAATGCTGTGTGTGTGTTCCATTACTCAGTCGTGTCCGAATCTCTGCAGCCCCACAGACTGCAGCCCACCAGGATCCTCTGTCCACAGAATTCCCCGAGCAAAAATACTGCATTGAGCTGCCATTTCCTCTTCCAGGGTATCTTTCCAGCCCAGGGACTGAACCCGGGTTTCCTGCATCTCCTTGCACTGGTAGGTGGATTCTTTACCACTGAGCCACCTGGGAAGCCCCCAATGAATGTTGCTCAGGCAAGTGTGTACACTGGTGTCACGATATCCATCACTGGGGATTTCAGCCGAGGATCCGAACTAAGGATTGGGAATAAGTAAAAGTATAGTATTGCTAATAACTAACATAATAATTATTATGCAATTGTGCAAATCTCAAAAACGACAGCATGATCTTGGTTCATTTCTAAGGCAAACCATTCAATACCACAGTAATCCAAGTCTATGTCCCAACCACTAATGCCAAAGAAGCTGACATTGAATGGTTCTGTGAAGACCCACAAGACCTTCTAGAACTAACACCACAGGCAAGTTTGGCCTTGGAGTACAAAATGAAGCACGGCAAAGACTAACAGAGTTTTGTCAAGAGAATGCACTGGTCATAGCAAACACTCTCTTCCAACAACACAAGAGGCAACTCTACACATGAAGCACAAGCTGGAATCAAGATTGCAGGGAGAAATATCAATAATCTCAGATATGCAGATGACACTACCTTTATGGCAGAAAGTGAAGAAGAACCTAACAGCCTCTTGATGAAAGTGAAAGAGGAGTGTGAAAAAGCTGGCTTAAAACTCAACATTCAGAAAACTAAGATCATGACATCTGGTCCCATCACTTCATGGCAAATAGATGGGGAAACAATGGAAACAGTGACAGACTTTATTTTTGGGGGCTCCAAAATCACTGCAAGGAGTTGGTGATGGACAGGGAGGCCTGGCGTGCTGCAGTCCATGGGATTGCAAAGAGTTGAACACGACTGAGCGACTGAACCAAACATGATAATTACAATGATGAATGTTAGATATGAATGAATGTTAGTTATTATCAATACTTTTACTTATTCCCAATCCTTAGTTTGGATCCTCAGCTGAAATCCTGTGATGGATATCATGACACTGGTGTACACAGGCCTGAGCAAACAAGCTACAGATCACTGATCCTCCCCACAAAGGTGTTGCACCCCCTGGAGCACCCCCTACCTGGAATCTCCCCTGCTCTACAGGCTGCTGTAATCCCCTGGTTTCTCTTCCTCTTCTCAGGACCCTCCTGACTCTGGGCTTATCTTCTCAAACAGTATTTGAGGGACAGTCTTGGAGGGTGTTGGTTCTGAATTAACTCAATATCTGGGCTCTAGCCTTAGTTCAGTCATTGATGTTTTACCCTTTGCAAAGTATTCTTCCTGTCATCTGGGTCTTGTCCCCCACCTCCTGTCCTCCCTGCAACAAGAAAACATTCTTGGGCACCCACAAAGTGTTCTGCCAGGCAAACCTATTTTTAAACATCTGCATTTGAATACACACACCACCTCACACACTTGCTACTATCACTGCCCTACACTTATCCATCTGTTCCCTGGACGTCTGTGAATTTGTAGTCCCCAGGGATCACTCAGGTTTCTCCTTTCCTTGTATCCTCTGGGTTTCAAGTTTAAATTCTGATCCTTGATAACCTCTTAAAAAGTCAACCTGAGGGCAGTGACATTGTGGAGCAGACACAGCTCTCATACAGTAAAGAGCTGGGTTCTGCATGGACAGTAAGCCCTATAAATAACAGTAACAATAACAAGCAGCAAGAGGAGCAGCATTTAATGAGTGTCTAAAATGTCAGACCCTATGCCAAGTACTTTAGATGCATAAACTTAATTTAACAGAGCAACTCTCTGAAGATACTATTATTATCATTCTACAAATGAGGAAACTGAGGCATAGTGAGATGAAATAGCTTGCTCATGGTAACACAGCTAGTAAGGGCCAGGGTTTGGAGGCAAGTCCATGTAACTACATTCTACTGCTTCTCACACACAGGTACAGAAGTGGCAGCCCTGAGAGCTATGGTGCTCAGGTCACTTAAAAACACAACTCCTCTCAGACCACCAATGGTGGCCTCCATTAAAACACACTTCTCCAGGGGATCTTTCCAACCCAGGGATCGAACCCTGGTCTCCAGCATTGCAGGCAGATTCTTTACCGACAGAGCTAACAGGGAAGCCCTAAAACACACTAACTCAGAATAGACAATCACAAAATATCGACAGTGCCTGATATTTGTACTGCCCTTGACAGTTTGTCCAACTTTTCTTTGGTCAGGGACACTGGGCAGCAGCACTGATGGAGATGCCAAGACAAAATCTCTCTGAACCCAGGGAACTTATGTTTTAATCCTTCAGGAGGACAGACTGGCTCTCTGACATCTAAATGAAGACAGGGGTGCTGGTGGGGGCAGGGAAAGGAGTTCCTAAGGAATATTAGGGGCCTGTGGAGCTAGGTAAAAAGACTTGGGAGACTGCAGGAGGCCACCTCACCCGGAGGGACTGGAAAAGGCACCACCGTCTTACTGGATGACCTTGGGAAACTCACTTCCCTTCCCCGGTACTGCTTCCCTGCGGTGGATGTGGGAACCAGGTGATCGCTGAAACCCCACAACCCCTTATCTATATAACCTAATGAAGAGTCTGTAAATACATTCAGGAACTCGAGTTGGGTTCCAGATCCACCAGGGGCGGGCCCTCGGCCTTGCACAGATCACTTCGACTCTAAGTGCCTCAAATGCTTCATCTACAAAACGAAGTGTGTCACTGACAGTCCCGGCTCTCCCTCCCAAGAGTTCAGGAAGAATTAGGGGGCCAAACAGCGAGGGCGCCTAGAAGCGCGGCTCCGACGCACAGCACGGCTGGTCTGACCCGCGCGCCGCCGCCAGGTCAGGTCCACCAAGGCTCGTGTGACCCTACTCGCCTGAAGCGCTCGGAATCACCTCTGCTCAAGTTGGTGACCTCAGCTCGGCCCGGCAGAAACGGGAGGCCGGGACGGCTGCGACCTTGGGCGACTGCCTCCCGGGCCCCGCGTGAGCCGCTGCCTCTCACCAGTGTTCGGCACTTCCCGATACCAGGCTCGGTAGAGCTCGCGCACCCTCCGCTTGGCCTCGTTCATGTCCCGACTGAAAATGGGCTTCACCGAGGTGCTAGCCGCAACAGCAGCCTGGCGGAGTCCGCTCGCCGCCATCTTGCTGAGAAAATCACTTCCCAACTCCACCCCGTTTCGACCTGTAAGTGCGGCCTAGGGACGAATCTTTTTTCTCATTGGCTAGAACTTAAAGTCCCGCCCCTAAATGCCACTGGTGGGCGGGAGAACGGCTACGGGGCTCTCTGATTGGCTAAGAAGCCACGCTCTGGGAGGAGATAGGCAGGTGTAGGCTGCACATGCTCACCTGCGGAATCGTAAGGTCGACCGTTGGGCATCCTAACTGTCGCCCGACGGCGCTGACAGGGGGCGCTCGGGCCCAGACTGGCGGCAGTGCCGCGAGCTGGCCCCCTGGCTGCTGACTGGCGTCCACTGCACCACGCCCGCGAGCCGCCCCGGCCGCTGGTGTGGTAACGTACAGCGGCGCGCACTTCTTGGAGCTTCTATATCAGCTCCCCGAGCTCGGGTCACGGGCCCTCCTGAGGTAGATGATGGCGCCTGGGCTGCGGTGTCGTCGGCCTGGCACCTCTGCAGATTTTCTGCAACTGTTTTTCCCCCACCTTTAAACCAACTCTTTCGAAGCTCGGTATAGATGTGCACGCGCTCACCTGGCCTTGAGTTTCTCTGCGCTTCTCCACAGCCCAGGGAGGTAGTTTATATCATCTGTTCCCATTTTAGACGGGGGAGTTTTCATCCCAAACTGTGAAAACAACCCAGAATTTTGGACCTGGAAGGAACCTTAGGTCGTCCATTCTGGGTACCTCTCTTTTTCCTGGTGTTTTTCTTTTATTTATTTAGTTTTCAGCCGCGCCTGCGTGGCATGTGGGGTCTCAGTTCCCCTACCAAGGATTGAACCCGTGGCCCCTGTAGTGGAAGCTTAGAGTCTTAGCCGCTAGACTGCTGGGGAAGCCCCTTTCCTGACATTTATCTACTGAGGCTATCTATTTCTGAACGTCAGTGGAGGGAGCCTGGAAGGGTAAAAGGAAAAATAACAGCTAACAACATGTCAGGTGGTGGGTAGATATTGTTAGTCTTCCTTCATCTCTTAGATCAGGTTCTGTTAGCACTCCCATGTTACAGGTGAGGAAGCTGAGATGTTGCAGCTTGCCATTTTAGGTTCCGCCCCAGACTGACTGCTGTCTGGAGTCTATCTGTCTCTTCTGAAAATGCAGTTGACGAACACCTTATGAGTGTTAGGGAAGGAGAAGTCAGGGCTGAACTTAGCTTTGAGACCTCAGCCACCATAGGGGATGGACCTGCATCTAGCCCAGTCTTTCCCATTTTAAAGGGTAAAAAATTGATTTTTTTCCCCTTGTGTTATTTTTTTAATGTACATTTAAATGAGTCGTGCATTTAAAGAAAGCATGTAACATGTGCAAGTTATAAGGGATACCAGAATGGGAACTTTTGAACTTTAGTACCCGCCTCAAAAAGTTGTAGTACAGTTAAGATTTATGTAAAGTGTTGAGTTCAGTTGCTCAGTCATGTCCAACTCTTTGCCACCCCATGGACTGCAGCAGGCCAGGCCTCCCTGTCCATCACCAACTCCCAGAGCTTGCATTTAAAGTGTACGGTGCTCCTGTTAACCACTGTGTTACATTTTTCAGGCACATTAACTTGTTGAAGCTTCCCGACACACGTGTGAGATAATGCTGTTATACCCACTTTACAGATGAAAAAATTGAAATACAGTGGCCAAGTTACTTGACAATATTGGATTAAGACCCAGGTAGCTGACCCAGACCTAGCTGACCTCTAGGAGTAACCACTATCATGAATTTAGTGTTTAATATTCTTATCCATTGAAAAAAAGTAAGGTCTGGACTTCGTGGTGGCCCAGTGGTTAAGAATCTGCTTGCAAATGGATTTGATCCCTCCAGGCATCCGGGGCTTCCCTTGTGGCTCAGCTGGTAAAGAATCCACCTGCAATGCAGGAGACCTGGATTCGATCCCTGGGTTGGGAAGATGCCCTGGAGAAGGGAACGGCCACCCACTCCAGTATTCTGGCCTGAAGAATTCCATGGACTGTGTAGTCCATGAGGTCACAAAGAGTCAGACACGACTGAGCGACTTTCACTTTTCTTTCTAGGCGTCTAAGCCACTGTGCCCTGGCACCGGCAAGCCACAACTACTAAAGCCTGTGTGGCTGGAGCCTGTGCTCTGCTGCAAGAGAAGCCGGCGCTATGAGAAGCCCTTGTACCACAGCGGGAGGAAAGCTGACATGCAGCAATGAAGACCCAATGCAGTCAGAAATAAATAAAGTCTGCGAGGAAAAAAAGTCTCTAAAACAGCTCACAACTAGAGGGAGAATATTTGCAAATCATCTGTTCCATAAGGGACTTCTGTCTAAGATATATCTATCTAAGATATCTATCTAAGATAAAACTCAATTTTTTAAAAGGCCCTATTTGAAAATAGGCAAAGGTGACACCACCAAATACTAATGAGAATGCGGAGCTGCAGGAACTCGCATTGTTGGTGAGAATACAGCCAGTGTAGGAAACAGCTTGGCAGTTTCTTACAAAACTAGCATACTCTGGACTTGCCGGTGGTCCAGTGGTTAAGACTTCAATCTTTCACTTCACGGGGCTCAGATTTGATCACTGGTTGGGAAAGTTTAAGATCCCACGTGCCATGAGGCATGGCCCAAACACAAAAAACTAGCATACTTTTACTATACAGGTCAGTAATCACACACCTTGGTATTTACCCAAATGAGTTGAAAAATTATGTCCACACAAAAACCTGCACATGGATATTTATAACAGCTTTATTTATACTTGTCAAAACTTGGAAGCCACAAAGAAGGCCTTCAGGAGGTGAATGAATGAATAAACCGTGATACATTCAGACAATGGGATATTCTGGAGCAGTGGAAAGAAATGAGCCCTGAGAAGATGTGGAGCAAACTTTAATGGATATTACTAAGTGCAAGAAGTCAATCTGAAAAGGCTACCTTTATGATTCTAGCTATATGACACACTGGGAAAAGGCAAAACCATGGAGGCGAAAGATCATTGTCAGGGACCAGGGTGGAGGGAGAGAGGAATAAGTGCAGTGCAGAGAGATTTTAGGGCAGTGAACCCATTCTGAATGATACTGTAATGGTGAATACATGTCATTATATATTTGTCCAAATCCACAGATTGAACCCTAATGTAAACTATGGACTTTGAATGGCAATGATGTGTCAATATAGGTTCTTCCATTTTAACAAGTTGTACCACTTTGATGGGGGATGTTGATAGTGAGGGAAGCTGGAGTGGGCATGGCAAGGGGTATGTGGAAACTGTACTCCAATCAGTTTATCTGTGAACCTAAAACTGCTCTTTAAAAAGTTTTTTTTTTTTAATGGGCAAAGGCTTTGAGTAGCTGTTTTTCCCAAGAAGTTATACAAATGAGCAGTAATACATGAAAAGACACTCAACATTATTTGTCATATGTAAATGCATATTAAAAAAGCAGAGACATTACTTTGCCAACAAAGGTCCATCTAGTTAAGGCTATACTTTTTCAAGTAGTCATGTATGAGTGTGAGAGTTGGACTATAAAGAAAGCTGAGCACTGAAGAATTGATGCTTTTGAACTGTGGTGTTGGAGAAGACTCTTGAGAGTCCCTTGGACTGCAAGGAGATCCAACCAGTCCATCCTAAAGGAAATCAGTGCTGAATATTCATTGGAAGGATTGATGCTGAAGCTGAAACTCCGATACTTTGGCCACCTGATGTGAAGAGCTGGCTCATTTGTAAAGACCCTGATGCTGGGAAAGATTGATGGCAGGAGGAGAAAGAGACGACAGCGGATGAGATGGTTGGACGGCATCACCAACTCAATGGGCATGAGTTTGAGTAGACTCCGGGAGTTGGTGATGACAGGGAGGCCTGGCATGCTGCAGTCCATGAGATCACAAAGAGTTGAACGTGACTGAGTGACTGAACTGAACTGACTGAAATGCAAATCAAAACCGTAAGAAGATACCATTTCTCACCCACTAGAATACATTTTTTTGGTGGGGGATATTGATACAGGTTAAGGGATAACTGCTTTTCTGTGCCACCTCTTGCCGCTGTCATTGGTGCCCAGTGAATGTTAAATTGGGTTGAATTGAAGACTTCAGCGTGAGAGACTTGTGCTGTTGGTAGTGGAGTGAGAACTAGATCCCAGAACTTTTTACCTGGGCCTGATGTTTTTTTTTTACTCCATCCCTCCTCTCACCCTCCTCTCACCTCCTCTCACCTCTTGGCCTTGATTTGAAGCTCCTCTAAGATGGTTGCGTCCTTCTTCCCGAGACCACCTTACAATCAGAGATTCAAGCAGAGGGTCTTTTTGTTTCCAGTGGTATATGAGGTCATGGGGTCCCCAGATGAAAGCAAAAAAAGGGGAGGTATCAGGAACTGATTCATGAGGGCTGAGATACACAGCCACACATTGCCTTAGACCCTTTTCTTTCTGGCCTCTATAGGGACCGGAAAGCAGCTTTTATAATTTTCTAGCATGCACTGTGTTATATACTGTGTTATATACTACACATTTCATTTATTTTTGGCTGTGCTGGGGCTTCGTTGCTCCATGGACTTTTCTCTAATTGTAGCGAGCAGGGGCTACTCTCCAGTTTTTTCATTGTTTTGGCTTCTCGTTGCTGAGCACAGGCTCTAGGGTGTGTGGGCTTCAGTAGGTCCTCCTTATGGGCCCTAGATAGCAGAAGCTCAGTAGTTGTAGCGCACTAATGGGCTTAGTTGCTCCGAGACATGTGGAATCTTTCCAGACCAGGGACTGAACCCATGTCCTTTGCATTGGCAGGAAGATTCTTAACCACTGGACCACCAGGGAAGTCCCATACTGCACATTTTAAATTAAATTTATATGATAATTGTAGATTCATATGTATAAAAATAACAGAGAAAGGTTAGATGCACATTTTACTCAGTTTTTCCCAATGTAAAACAATAGTACCATATCACAAGGATACTGACACTGATATAATAAAGATACAGGACATTTTCCTCACTACAAGGATCCCTCGTATTACCCTTCTCCTCTGTTGTTCAGTTGCTGTCATGTCCAACTTTTTTGTGGCCCCATGGACTGTAGCCCACCAGGCTCCTCTGTTCATGGGGTTTCCCAGGCAAGAATACTGGAGTGGGTTGCCATTTCTTTCTCCAGGGGATCTTCACAAGTCAGTGATAGAACCCATGTCTCCTGTATTGACAGGGGGATTCTTTACCACTGAACCCCCTGGGAAGCCTTGTCCTTACTTATCCCCTCCCTAATCATGGGACTCCACTTTGATAATTTTGCTAATTTCTAGAATATTATATAAATGAAATCATACAACATGTAACCTTTTAGATAGGATTTAGTTTTGTTTTGCTTTCCCTCAACATAATTCCCTTGAGATTTATCCAGCTTGTTTTGTGTATCAGTAGTTTATTCCCCCCTTTTTTTTTTCTGAGTAGTATTCCATGGTATGGATTTATCACAAGTTAATCATTCACCCTTAAAGGGCATCTGGGTTGTTTCCAGTTTGGGGCTATTATAAATAAAACTGTACATACTTGTGTACAGCTTTGTGTTAACGCAAGACTTCATTTCTCTAGTATAAATGCCCTGGAATACAATTGTTGAGTCACATATTTGTTGAATATTTAGTTGTGTAGGAAACTACTAAATTGTTTTCCAGAACAACTGTACCATTTTGCATTCCATTTATCGATATATGAGTGACCCAGTTCCTGTTCTACTTTTGGTGCAGCAACTTTTTAATTTTAGCTATTTGATAGATGTGTAGGGGTATCTCATTATTGCTTTAATTTACATTATGGCTAGTGATAAGCATCCTTTCATATGCTTATTTCCCATCTTATGTTCTCTCTAGTGAAATGGATTTTCATGTCTTTTTCCCCAATTAAAAAAATTTTTTTTGTTTATTTATTTTTTTAGGTCTTCACTGTGTGTCGCAGGATCTTTTTTTGCAACACACAGACTGTCTAGTTGTGGCGTTGCAGCTCAGTAGTGACTTGTGGGCTCCAGAACAAGACAGCTTTAGTAGTTGCTACTCTCAGGCTTAGCTGCCTAATGGCATGTGGGATCTTAGTTCCCCAACCAGGGATCAAACCTGCATCCTCTGCATTGCAAGGCGTATTCTCAACTACTGGACCACCAGGGAAGTCTGTGACAGTATTCTAATCAGATTGTTTACTTGTTGAGTTTTGAAAGTTCTTTCTATGTTCTAGGTGCTAGTCCTTTGTCAGATACATGGTTTGCAAATATTTTCTCCCACTCTGTAGCTTGATTTTCTATCTTTTCAGCAGGATCTTTCACAGAACAGGAGTGTTTAATTTTGATGAAAGCCAATTTTTTTTTCCTTTTATGGATTGTGTTTTTTGTGTCAAATTAAAGAACCCTAGCTGTAGTTTCAGTAGATTTTCTTTGACTGTTTTCCTAAGAGTTTTATGTTTTACATTTAAGTACATGGTCCACTTTGAGTTAATTTTCATATGGGACATTAACTTAGATTGAGGGATTTTTGTTTTGTTTTTGCTGATGGATGTCCGATTACTCCAGAACCATTTGGGGAAAACCCAGCTTTCCTCCACTGAATTGCTTTTGTACCTTTACCAAAATTCAGTTAAAAGCTACAATAATCAGGACTTCCCTGGTGGTCCAGTGGTAAATAATCCACTTGCCAATGCAGGGGACCTGGGTTTGATCCCTGGTGCAGGAAGATTCCACATGCATGCCAAGGAGCAACTCAGCCCGTGGACCCCAACTACTAGCCTGCACTCTCGGGCCTACCAGCCACAGCTACTGAGTCTATGTGCTGCAACTACTGAAGCCCGCACACCTAGAGCCTGTGCCCAACAAGAGAAGGCACCACAATGAAAAGCCCAAGCAGTGCAACTGGAGAGTAGCCCCTGTTCACTGCAGCTAAAGGAAGCCTGCAAGCAGCAATGAAGACCCGACACAGCCAAAAATCATAATGACTTTTAAAAACTAAATTCTAATAGTTCTCATAACAAGGAGAATTTTTTATTTTATCTATATGAGAAGATGGATGTTAACTGAACCTATTGTAATTATTTCACAGTATATGTAAATAAAACCATCATGCCATATATGTTTAAGTTTTGCAGTGATGTATGTCAGTTATTTCTCAATACAACTTAAAAAACTAAATAAAAATTATATAATCAGGATTTTGATTGAGATTGCATTGAATGTGGATTGAAATCGAACACGGAAGTGACATCTTGTGGTCCAGTGGTTAGGATGCCATTCTTTCACTGCCGAGGGTATGGGTTCAGTCCCTGGTGGGTTTAATCCCCGAGGACCCACCAGCCGTGTGGTGTGGCTAAAAAAGGAAAAAATAGAAATGACATCTTTATACTGCTGAGTTTTCCAAACAGGAAACGCAGCATATTTTATACATAATGTGTGTATGTATGTTCACACCCTAAGAGAAACTCAAGACGTTTGGATAGGGATCAGAGAATAGAGCATTTATTACTCACAAAGCATCTTGTACTTATTCCCCACATTAACTCTATTTTTCTGCTGTATCTGCTGTTAACCCATAAGTATAGAGAATTCTTAATGTCAGATATTGTATTTTGTGTTCTAGAATGTCTATTTTATCTATTGCTATGAACAAATTACCTCAAAACTCTCAGCTAAAACAATAAATATTTATTATCTCACAGTTTCCTGTGGACCAGGAATCCAGGTGAGGCTTATTTGTGTGCCTCCGTCTCGAGGTCCCTCAGGAGGTGGCATCAATCAGCTGGCACTGTGGTATCATTGAGGGCTCACCTGAGCCAGGGAAGAGAGTGTGAGCTGGTACCCACGTCATGGTTGTCACCAGGCCTTGGTCCCTCATCACTTGGACCCCTCCACAGGATGCCTTATTAAAAGGCAACTGTCTTCCCCCACCATGGTAAATGTTCAGAGAGTGAGTGAGTATTCAAGATGGAAACCATGGTCATTTTTTTTGTAAGCTTCTTTGGGAAGTGACATCTCACTTCTACCAAATTTATTCAATAAATCCAGGCCACATTCAAATGAATAGTAGGAGGTTGAGATTATTAAGGACTGTCTTAGAGATATTCCTACCACAATGTCTATTTGATTTTTTTTTTACAGGCTTGAATTCTCTGTTGAGTTACTCTAACTATTCATCTGTTTTGTCTATCTTTTCATCTATTTGCTTTAACATACTAATCATAGCCATTTTTAAAGTCCTTGTCTGGTAACTCCAATATCTAAATTATCATTGGGTCAACTTCTCTGACTATTTATCTCTTAATTATCAGTTAAATTTTCCTGTTTCTTTGTAAGTTTAGTTACTTTTTGTTGTAAGCTTGACATCATGGATATGTTGTAGATTATGTTAATTTTTCTCTAAAGGAATATCAAGAAAAAGGATGTATGTATATGAATAATTTAATCACTTTGCTGTACACCTGAAATTAATACAACATTGTAAGTCAACAATACTCCAATCCAAAATAAAACCAACCACAAAAGATAAAAAAGAATGTCAAGTTTTGTTTTGACAGGCTTTGAGGCTTGAATTTAGGCTCCAGTTGATTGGAGCTGTTTTAATTCTGCCTGTACTTGTAGGTGTACTCCTTATTCCTAGGGCAATGCTTTTCTGGAATCTTAACTGATGCCTGGAACACGAACCAAAATCTCTTCACTTTGGCCAGGCCCAGTCTCCAGTGTCATCCAGCAGGTGTGTTCGATCCTTAGGTCGGGAAGAGCCCCTGGAGAAGGAAATGGCAACCCACTCCAGTATCCTTGCCTGGAGAATTCCATGGACAGAGGAGCCTAGTGGGCTACAGTCCATGGGGTCACAAAGAGTTGAATGCAACTGAGCACGCATGCCTATAAGTAGTTGAATGTATTTTGTCCCCTTTTATATTTGTTTATTGTGGGAGGGTAAATCCAACATGAGCCACTCCCTCATGGTTGAAACTTTTAAGTCCTTAAAAAGCGTAAGTGTAATGGGAAGCCAATATTTTACCAGCTTTATTTTTATTTCCACAATAGCTGTTTATTTTTCCCAATAGACAAGTCACTTTCTAGGGGTGCCACATCCTTTCTTATCTTTTTGAGAATTTTAATAATGTTTAAAGTTTTTTGTGATTTTCTCTATTCACTCTTTTCCTAGTCATTAGGGTTTTTTTTTTTTTTTTTTTTTTTTTTTGAGGGAAACGCAGGACAGTCTTTACTTTTAAGTGATTATCAGTACAATATCAGTACACCAAGTAGTAACATGTAACAAGTTAGTGAACTCTACCATCTAGTAAGTTTGAATAAGAGAAACTAAGAGCAGCCCAACACTAGGACCCATTATTCTAATCCTTGGCTGGAAAGGACTATTTTAAGGCTGGCTGCTGTTTCATGTGGGTCACAAATAACTATTTACTACTTTTTCATAGATAAAGCCCCTGACCTTCAAGAAAGATTTAGGGAAAAAAACATTTTAATCCCTTTCTTTCTTAAGAAAATTGGGTTTTTAAAAACTATCTAAGAAAGAAAAAGTCAGTGTTGATAATATGCTGCTTGAGTGAAAAGGCATAGAAAACACACAACATATATCCACTAAATTTCTAAGAAATATGAGGTAAAAAGATACAATCTTTGGATAAGCTCTAAGCCTGTACAAAGAATCTACGTTTTCGATTCTGCAAAAAGTGAAGGGACCTACTATATAATGTACAGAAATAATTTAATGCCTTTTCATAAGATATAACTCAAGCCTTGCTAAATGAAACCTCACGTTCCATGAAGGCATTCAAAACGCCAATCCACGGAACAGGCACTTTTCTTCTCCCTCTATCCATTTATGCGGTAGTTCTCATGGATTTCTGGCCGGATGTCGCAGACAAAGGCCAAGAGGTTATCCAAGACTTCATCCCTATTCTGCTGGAAGTAGATCTGAAGGATGGTCATCTTCTTCTGGGTGTCCTCTACTTCAGTGCTGAAACTGCCATGGGATCCCAGAGCCACAGCTTCCTTGGCCTTGAACTCCTTTTCCCTCTGCAGGCGGTACTGTTCAGTTTCAGCCTGTGCTGCTTCTTTGGCCTGCTTCAACCTCCGGTTCTTTCGCTTGTGGGCCTCGGACACCTTCTCGGCGGCCCGCTTCTCCGCCTGGAGCAGCTGCTCGATGCCCTGAGACTGACTGGCCATGGCTATGACGATGGCGCTGGCGGCTGCGACCTAGGGATTTTTTGTTGTTGTTGTTTGTTTCTTTGTACAGTGTTGTGCCTCTTTCCTAGTGTTGGTTTTCTTTAAGTATTTGGCAAGTTCTGCTCAAATGTTCAGGTCTGTCTTTGAGGGTCTCTGATGGATCCTTCTTGAATGTTTTTATTTACTGAGAAGTATTATTCTCTGTGGAGCCAGGATAAGACATTGCTAGGCAGGGTATACTTTGTGGTTAGTTTGGGGCACTGGGGCTCCTGTTTCTGCTGGTGTTACCAACCATCCAGCACTTCTCTGGCCAAGGAGTCTTACAGTGACTGTTCTTACCTGGTGCTTGATACATCTATCTGGTCTGCTTGCCTTGGGTGGAAAGAGAGGAAATTGGTCATCTTTTTGCTTCACATGAATCCCCAAACCAATCATCCTGATAAGTTTCTCTCCCACTTCCCAGATCTGTCACTTTGATGGACAGAGACACCCAGGGACCCTCCACCTCTCACAGTGATGTCTTCCTGCCTGTATTTTGTCCTTTGGTTTCCTCTGTCGACCTCATCCTGCCTGACTTCCACTTTTGAGAGATTCCTTATGGCTTCTGATTCAACAGGGTATTATTTTTTGCTTTCTGGAACTATTATGAATTTATTTAAAGATTTGCTTTATTTTACCTCTGTTGTTTGAGGTAGGAGACAGAAGCAGTGTACACAGGTGGCAGTCTGACATCTTGGACTTAGTGGCTCTTGAGAACCTTTCTGTTGTTCTGATGCTGAAAGCTGACTTGGCTCAGCATGGAATTCTTGAGTCACAATCATTTTCCCTCAAAACTCTATAAAACAGTTTCCCACTGTGCTTTAACATTTAGTTCTTGTGATAATTCTGATGTTCTGATTTCTGACTCATTCATTTTAGGTAACTTGTGTTTTATTCCCCCCATCGTAATGTTTTCTTGTTCTTTGTATTAAAAAATCTTACCAGGATATGTATATGTATGGAAACTTTTATGTTACTTTTGCCTCGTTAAGTTAACTTAAAATTATGTGATTCAAGAGTTAAGGCTTCCTTCACTTCAAGGAAAAATTAATTAATTGTCTGAAATCAATTAACAGTACATGAGTCTACATCCAATCTTTATTCTGTTCCATCTTTCTTGACGTCAGTAATCCTATACTGTATCGATTACACAATATATTGTCCAACTTTGCTTTTTCAAAATTCTAGGTCCTTGGTGCTTCCATATGAAATTTAGGAATAGCATATCCATTTCAACAACCAAGAAAGTTTGCTGAAATTTTTATTGAGATTACACTGAATCTGTAGGTCAGTTTGAGGGTGAATTCACATTTTAATAATTTTGAATCTTCTGATTCATGTCCATGGTATATCTCTTCACTTGGTTAGGTCTTTAATGTCTTTTAACAGTGTTTTGTAGTTTTTAGTGTGCAGATCTTCCACATATATTTTGTCAGAGTATTTCATATTTTTGACACCATAATACATTTAAAAATTTTCTATTTCTAATTGTTCATTGTTTTATATAGAAATATAATTGACTTTAATACATTTTTAGAGTAGTTTTAGGGTCACAGCAAATGCAGTTGACTTTTATATATTGATCATATATCCTTCACTTTGCTAAACTCTAGTAGCTTTTTGGATTTTATATATGATCATGTTGTCTACAAAATAAAGGTAGCTTTACTTCTTCCTTTCCAATATAGTTACCTTTTCCTTCTCTCTTTTCTTTTTTATTTTACTTCTTTGACTGCACTGTGTCTTAGTTGCTGCACACAGGATCCTTAGTTGTGTCATGTGAACTCTTAGTTACGGCATCTGGGATCTAGTTCCTTGTTCAGGGATTGAACCTGGGCGCCCTGCATTGGGAGCTCGGAGTCTTAGCTAGTGGACCACCAGGGAAGTCCCTATTTTTTATTTTTAATCTTTAGTTCACTGAAAGAAATTATTATTATTTAATGACTGTGTCAAACTTGAAAAAAATCAGTGTAATCAATAAGTAAGCTTATGATATGGTTACAAGTGAAAAGTTTTGTCTCATTTGCAATTTGCAGCATAAATTAATGGAGAAAATGTTATAACTTATAAAATTAACACCAATAGTTTTGTAAATTTTATATGTAAAGGGCTGAATCACTGCAATCATGAGGTTCTATTTTTGTTGTTGTTGTTGGCCTCTCCATGGAGCATGTGAGATCTTAGTTCCTTGACCAGGGACTGACCTCTCACCTCTGCATTGGAAATGTGAAGTCATGACAACTAGACTGCCCAGGAAGTATCCCCCATATATTTATATATTTTTAATTGTGGTTCTGACTCTAGAAATCAGTTACTCAAAGTATACAGTTTGACTTCAGGAAAAAGATAAACAAATGATAATAAATCAGAGTTTTGAATGTTAGGTTGATTTCTGGACTAGACTAGGCCTGGGAAGGGAAGTCACAGTTACGTGAACCGTGAACTTCCAGATGTTCAAGCTGGATTTAGAAAAGGCAGAGGAACCAGAGATCAAATTACCAACATCCGTTGGATCATAGAAAAAGCAAGAGAGTTCCAGAAAAACATCTACTTCTGCTTTATTGATTATGCCAAAGCCTTTGACTGTTTGGATTACAGCAAACTGTGGAAAATTCTTAAAGAGATGGGAACACTAGACCACTTGACCTGCTTCCTGAGAAATCTGTATGTAGGTCAGGAAGCAACAGTTAGAACTGGATATGGAACAACAGACTGGGTCCAAATAGGGAAAGGAGTATGTCAACTCTGTATATTGTCATCCTGCTTATTTAACTTCTATGCAGAGCACATCATGAGAAACGCTGGGCTGAATGAAGCACAAGCTGGAATCAAGATTGCCAGGAGAATTATCAATAACCTCAGATATGCAGATGACACCACCCTTATGGCAGAAAGCAAAGAAGAACTAAAAGAGCCTCTTGATGAAAGTGAAAGAAGAGAGTGAAAAAGTTGGCTTAAAGCTCAACATTCAGAAAACTAAGATCATGGCATCTGATCCCATCACTTCATGGCAAATAGATGGGGAAACAGTGGAAACAGTGGCAGATTTTATCTTCTTGGGCTCCAAAATCACTGCAGATAGTGACTGCAGCCATGAAATTAAAATACACTTGCTCCTTGGAAGAAAAGTTATGACCAACCTAGACAGCATATTAAAAAGCAGAGACATTACTTTGCCAAAAAAGATTCTAGTCAAAGCTATGGTTTTTCCAGTGGTCATGTAGGATGTGAGAGTTGGACCATGAAAGCTGAGCACCGAAGAATTGATGCTTTTGAACTGCAGTGTTGGAGAAGACTCTTGAGAGTCCCTTGGACTGCAAGGAGACCCAACCAGTCCATCCTAAAGGAAATCGGTCCTAAATATTATTTGGAAAGACTGCTGTTGAAGCTGAAACTCCAATACTTTGGCCAGATGAGGCGAAGAATTGACTCATCTGAAAAGACCCTGATGCTCGGAAAGATTGAAGGTGGGAGGATAAGGGGACAACAGAGGATGGGATAGTTGTATGGCATCACTGACTCAAAGGACATGAGTCTGAATAAACTCCAGGAGTTGGTGATGGACAGGGAGGCCCGGCATGCTGCAGTCCATGGGGTCGCAAAGAGTTGTACACGACTGAGCAACTGAACTGAACTGAACTGAGGCATGGGAAGGGAAGTCTGGTGTTATGCTGCTTATCTGACATCATTGCTCCATTCAGGAGTGTGGTAGGTTTACTGATGGGTTAAGGGAAGATAACTTCTCTTTCTTGACTTAGTTTACAGTCTAAAACCTCCAGTACCGTGTTGTATAGAAGCAAAGAGGGCTGATATCCTTACTTTTTTCCTGAATTTAAGGAGAAAACATTCAGTATTTTACCATCAGGTATATTTGGTAGCTCTGTTTTTCATAGATGTCCTTCGTCAAGTTGAGAATGTTCCAACTACTCCTAGTTTGCTGGGAGATTTTTTTTGTTTCAGGAAGAGATGTTCATTTTGGCAAATGTTTTTTATGCATTTGTTGAGATAATCTTATGATTTTTGTTTTTTAGTCTATTAATATGGTAAACTATAATGATTGGTTTTGGAATGTTGAAACAGCCCTGCATTCCTAAGGGTAATGTATTATCTTTTTATATATTGCTGGTTTCAATTTGATAAGATTTTGTTAATAATATTTGCCTCAATGTTTATGAGAGATGCTGTTTTGTAGTTTTCTGGTGTTATCTTTGTCTGGTTTTGGTATGTCCAATAATGCTGATGCAGTGTTCAGAGAATGAGATGGGAAACACTTCCTCCTTTTTTTCTGGAAGAGTTTGTGTAGAATTGGTATTATTTCTTCCTCCAAAGTTTGATAGAACTTACTAGTGAAGCCATGTGGACCTGAAGTTTTCTTTGTGGGAAAGTTAAGTAAATTCATTGTCTTTAATAAATATAGAATTATTCCAGGTTATATGTTTCTTTTTGAGCTTTAGTACTCAGTGTCTTTTAAAAATATTGTCCATTTCATCTACATTGTCAAACTTATTGGCATAGCATCTTGTTTATAATGTTCTCCACATCAGCCACCTTTACCATTCTTTTTTAAAAATAGTTTTATTCATTTATTTGTTATTTTTGATTGTGCTGGGTCTTCGTCACTGCTTGGGCTTTTTTTTTTTCTTCTCTAGTTGCAGTGAGCAGGGACTACTCTTTAGTTGTGATGTGTGGGCATCACATTGACATGACTTCTCTTGTTTTGGAGCACAGGTTCTAGAGCATAGACTCAGCTGGGCTTATCACTACGTGACATGTGGGATCCTCCCAGACCAGGGATCCAACCTGTGTCTCCTGCATTGGCATGTGGATTCTTTACCACTGAGCCACCAGGTAAGCTCCACCTTTATCATTCTTGATATTGATCATTTGCATTTTATTTTTTTTCCTGATCTGTTCTATCTAGAGGATTGTACATTTTGTTTATCTTCTGATTTTAGTTGAAGCATGTGGGATCTAGTCCCCTGATCAGGGATTGAACCTGGGTCCCCTGTGCTGGGAGTGCAGCGTCTTAGCCACTGGACCACCAGGGGAGTCCCTCTTTTTCTGTTTTCTGTTTCATTTCTTTTCACTCTGATCTTTAAAATTTCTTGTGCTCACTTTGGTTTGCTCTTCCATTTCTACTTTAAAGTAGAAACTGAGGTCCTTGATTTGAGACATTTTTTATTTTCTTTTTTAATTAATTATTTATTGAAATATAGTTGGTTTACAATGTTGCATTAGTTTTCGGTGCACAGCAAAGTGACTCAGTTATACATATATATGTACACATATGCTTTTTTATATTCTTTTCCATTATAGTTTTTTACAGGATAGTGAATACAGTTCCCTGTGCTCTATAGTAGGATCTTGTTGTTGATCTATTGTAGCAGTTTATATCTACGGATCCCTAACTCCTAATTTATCCCTCCCCCACTCTCTTTCCCCTCTGGTAACTGTAAGTTTGTTTTCTACAGACGTTTATTATTTCTAATATGGGCATTTTAGTGCTGTAAATTTCCCTCTATGTGCCGCTTTAGCTGCATCCCACAAATTTTGATACATTTTAAAAGACATTTATTTGCTTGGCTGTGCTGAGTCCTAGCTGCAGCATGTGGGGTCCCCGCGGCGCGCGGCCTCTTCAGTTGGGGCGGTGGGCTTTGCTGCTCCCCAGTATTCAGGATCTTAGCTCCCCGACCGGGAATTGAACCCATGTCCTCTGCACTGCATGGCAGACTTCCAACTACCGGACCATCAGGGAAGTCCCTGACATATACATATATGTATTTTTTTCTTTTCTTTTTGTTTAACATTCTTTCTTATCTTTTTATTTTATAAACATACATGAATTTTTTCTTTTAAGGCTGCACTGCAAAACTTCCAAGGATCGAACTTGGTCCCTTAACAGTGAAAGTGCAGAGTTCTAACCACTGGACAGCTAGGGAATTATCTATTTCACACACATGCACGTGTGTGTATTTATTTGTTTTTGTCTGCACAGGTCTTCAGTGCTTTGCTTGACTTTCTCTAGTTGCCGTGAGTGAAGGCTACTCTTCACTGTGGTGCAGGGGCTTCTCCTGTTGCAGAGTACAGGCCCTGGGCGAGAGGGGTTCTATAGTTGCAGCACGCAGGCTCAGTAATTGCAACTGGAGGACTTGGATGCTTCATGGCATATGCAATCTTCCCAGACCAGGGATTGAACCCTTGTCCCCTGCATTGGCAGGCAGATTCTTATCCACTGCACCGCCAGGGAAGTCTTATTGTTATTATTTTTAAATTTGTTTGACTGCACTGGGTCTTAGTTGTGGCACGCGGGATCTAGTTCTCTGGTCAGGAATAGGAAATCTGCATTAGGAGTGTGAACCACTGGGTCTTAACCACTGGGCCACCATGGAAGTCCCCACACATATATTATTTAAAGTGTGTTGTTTAGTTTCCAAATATTTGGGGATTTTTCAGGGATCTTTCTGTTACTGATTTATCATTTAATTCTATGTGGTCCAAGAACATACTTGCAATTACTTAAAACTTTTAAGTGATAGAGGCTTATTTTGTGGCTGAGAATATGGTGTTCCATGGTAAATATTTCATATATATGTGGAACTAAGGTATTGTTCTATTTTAACCACCATGGTTTTGTAATTATTATTTAGTTACAGTTGTAGTAATTTGGAGAGGGTGGAAAAGCTATTGTCTTGTCTCAGAAGATGTCTGTTTGATGTCTTCAAGCTCCAAGGGCAGTCTCCGTCTCGTTTACCTTTCCGTGTGCTCAGTTGCTCAGTCGTGTCTGACTCTTTGCGACCTCATAGACTGTTGCCCGCCAGGCTTCTCTGTCCATGGGATTCTCCAGGCAAGAATACTGGAGTGGGTTGCCATTTCCTTCTCCAGGGGATTTTCCCGACCCGGGGGTCGAACTTGCATCTCCTTATGTCTCCTGTATTGGCAGGAGGATTCTTCAGCACCCAGCCACCTGGGACCCTCACCATATTCCCGGCCCAAACTGAAAGCTCAGTAGACATTGGTTGAATAAATGGATGACAATTAGAAATGGTCCAGTTGTGTTCTGGCTTTTTATTTAAAAAACAAGATTATTGAGTCATGTGAGTGAGTCTTATGCACCTTTGTATCCCCGCAGGACTTTGTGTGGTGCTTGGCACATCATGGGTGCTCAAGCAGCATTGATGGCACTGAATGGACCCAAAGAGACACCTACAAAGGCACCGCCTCTGACTGGTGGGGATTGACATCCACCCCGAGGCGATGACAAGCTACTCTGGTCAGGGCTGGAGAGGTTGTCCTGTCATAAAGCCCCCAAAGACATGATGTCACACACAGACACCACTTGTGAAAGGGAGGGGCTGTGTGCTGGACTCCTGGGTGTAGCTGTGCTTCAGTGCCCTTCTCAGTGTGGGAGCCGGACGGGAGGCGAACAGGCTTCCTGCGCACTGATACGGTCAAAGGATACTCGGCAGATCGCTCACATCCTCAAGGTTGGTAGATCTGGTAAGCAGTTTCAAAAGGCCGCCCTCAGTAAACCACCCAAGCAGGTGATAATTGTCTTGATGACTCCTAGCCTGACTGTTCTGCCTCCCTTCCCACGTGGTGTTTTCTCTTCCCTCCTCTTCTTCTCTGACTCAGGATTCATTTTCTCTCCTCCAAACCTTCGTTCAGAAAAAGTCTGATATCTTGCTTACTGAAAACTTACTGCCATCCAACCATCTCATCCTCTACTGTTGAATATGTTCAACAGTATTCTCAGCACCTTCTCAGTATTCTCAGAGAAGGTGGTTCAGTAGGAAGGGAGGTTTGGTAGTGCCCCGGAGAGAGACGAAATGAGCTGAGGCTCCAGAAAGGCCCCCTGGGTTTGGGGACTAGGAGCTTATTGATGACTTTGGTGAGAGAGGTCTCAGAGGCTGATGGGAACACAGAGTCTGAAGTGGGTTGTGGAGTGAGGGAGTGGTGGAGCGAAGCGGAGACATGCAGGGCAGAGTCTCTCAAGGAGATGGTGTGAAGGGAAGGGGACAATTAGGATGGCACCTGGAGAAAGGATGTGGGCTGAAGGGACAAGAGCTGGGTGATGTGATTACATATGGATGGGAAGAGAAGGAAAGACAAGTGAGAGAGGGGACCCCCAAACACCAGGTTGTGAGAAGACCAGACGAATGGAGTACAGGAGCGGGTGAGCCCCAGAGAAGGGGGTGCGGTCTCCTCCCCTGAAGAGGAAATGACCTGTGAGAAGCAGAGAATGGACGAGTTTAGTGGCAGAAAGTCTGGGAACACCCGTCTGATAGAGCCTGTGGGCCCGAGTGAGAGTGAGCAAGGCGGACAAGGGGCTGGAGGTTGAGAGAGAGATTCCCTGACACTTCCTGTGGAGAATGGGGGACTCAAGGGGAACAGAGGCTCCCCAGGCCACGCTGAGGTCCACCTCACCCTGGAGACCTTGACTTACCCTGGTGTCACTTTATATGCAGCTCAACGCTGAAGGTGGGATGCTAGACAGGGTGCTTTCGAAAGGTTAGGGAATCTCCCCCTGTCCTCCCAAGATTATTCCAAATCTGCTGCATAACACCAAAAATACTTTAAACTGGTGGTAGTTTTTAATCATTTTTATTTACTATTATAATTAGCCGCCTACCCCCTGCGGTCAGTTTACATCAGATGATCAGTAGAGCTGTACTTTTCCCCTTAATCCTCTCCCAACCCACCCTCCCCATCCTGACCCCTGCTTTTCCAGTGGGAGGTCTGAGGTCTTGGGAGAAATTCCTGAGCATTTTCCAAGCTCTGAGTACTAACCCACTCCATCGTCCTGAGTTTAGCCTCAAACTGAAACTGGCAGGCTTTCCCTTGGATGAACCCTGCTGGCGGGGGTCCTGCCATTCCCCCAGCTGCCTCTGGCCCATTGCAGTCCCCGCCAGCCACAAAGTAAAGGAATATCAGGCCCCTGGGGCAACATGATGCACTGACTGATACCCATCTTCTCTCCTTAGACTGAAAATGGTGTTTGGTCTGTGCAGCCAGAGAGAGAGGTAAAGTTTACATGGGCCCTGTTATCATACCCTCATCAACCAGGAAAGGGGACCCCCTCACTGGGTCCCACGAGGAAGGGGTTTTGTATGGCCCTTTTCTTGACTGTTACAGCATCTCTGGGACTCAGGGTTAGAGTGGAGAGTCTGGTACAGACGAATGGGACATGCCTCTGTGTGTGTGTGTTTGTGTGTGCATGTGTGTGTATATAGACAGGGTGCCAGCATTCTGGCAGTGCCAAGACACTGTGTTCAAGGGGGTTCTCAGGTTGCCTAATGGTTAGGATTCGGCATTTTCACTGTGGAAGCTCGATCCCTCATTGGGGAACAATCCCACGTGCTATTCAGAATGGCCAGAAAAAACTCTGTTTGTCCCAAGGGAGGTGTTCTAGAAGAGCAAGATGGACAATGGGATATTATTTCTAATCCAGGCTGAAGGACTTGTTAGTCCAGAGGAGAGAGGGAGGGCTTTGGGGGGCTGTGGGTCAAAGAGCTAATACAACCCTTGAACGAACAGCTATGAATGCTGAGCCAAGGCTAAGCCCTTGCCTTCAGGCTGGAGAGGCAAGATGGACCTGTGTAAACAAGAAGGAAAGGAAAAGGGAGTGGGTCAGAGGGGCTGTGTGGGCTCCAGGCTCCAAGTCTGGCTTTCTGAATAAGCAGAGACACAGTCATTACGGCCAGTCAGCAGGGAGCCTGGGCTGAGCCCTTTACAGCTGCAGATTTATTCATCCACACTGTTGATTGGACACATCCTGGTGGAATAGGTGCTGGGGCTTGGACGGGAGAGAAAAACTGTGAGGGCACGAGACCCCAGCCTCACACTCTGCTCTGCTTTCCTTCCAGGCTCTATAGTCTCCTCTATGCAATACAAATCTTCATTCTTACAGGTGAGGGCCTGGGTGCTGGGATGGTTGGGGGAGTGATGGCAGGACCCAGGGAATGGGTGCTCGTCTCTGAGCCACTTCAATCTCTAGCTACTCCCCAAGACTCCCAGAGGCCCCCTCCTGAGATCGCCATGTGCCTGGCTCCCCAGGGCTGGTCACACTGCTCAGAACCAAGGCTGGCCTTATTTCTCCCTTTCCTCCCTCTGTACCTCCATGGAGAAGTGGGATTTGAACCTGTGTCTGATCTAAAACCCATGCATCCTCCTAAAAAACTCACAAACCAGCCCCTCAAAACACATATAACCAAGTCATGCCCTATAGCAGTGATCTTCAAATATTTACTTATACCTTTTGAATAATACCACTTCCCCGGTGACTCAGATGGTAAAAAGCGTCTGCCTACAATGCAGGAGACCAGGGTTAGATCCCTGGGTTGGGAAGGTCCTTTGAAGTAGGAAATGGCAACCCACTCCAGTACTCTTGCATGGAGAATCCCATTGACGGAGGAGCCTGTAGGCTGCAGTCCATGGGGTCGCAAAGAGTCGGACACGACTGAGTGACTTCACTTTCTTTTCTTTCACTTTCACTTTTGAATAGCTGTCCCCTCACACATTTGTAAGTTAATGTCTAAAGTCTTTCATCACACATCAAAATAGTTTAAAAATATACCATTATTGCCATATTGTACATACTGACGTTTAAAAATAATTGTTACTTTTTATGTGTTTTAACTAGTCTGTCTTCATCTCCCTGCAGGCGTGGCATACTACTATTTTCAGGGGTCTGTGGGGAAAACAGCCCCTGCCCATGAGATTGCTGTGGAGTCATCACAGGTGGGGACCTCTGTCAGGGGCTGAGGGGACCGTCATGTAGCACACAGAGCGGTCATACTGCTTGATCAGAAATGGGAGACCACCTGTGTGTGTGAGGACTCTGGTGAAATTCCCTCTGTTCTCGGCAAAGTGTCAAACAAAGCCCCCCTTTACCACCCCCAACCGCCACCCCCCGCCCCGGGCTGGCTGGCTGGTCACCTCAGGGCTCTGTGGCGTCAGCTCAGCTCGGGGCTCCGTGGCAGGAGCCTAGACGAACCGACAGGAACAGATGACCCCTCACGTGTGAGTAGTCTTGAACATGGTTCCACTTTCATACGTGAAGGGGGTGGTGGTGAGCAGGACAGCTGCCTGGGGTGACGTCCTCTCGGACACTCCAGGTCCAGGAACCCGTGACTGAAGCCCCTACTCCCAGCCGTCTGTCAGGAAAACACACATGGAAGCTGGATTTCCACTGAGAGCCACGTGCCGGATGAGGGGTTGCCCCTCTGGTGAAACCTCGCAGCCCCCAGCGGCATTGTGTGTGTGTGTGCTGGGGCACAGCCAGGGAGCGTGTGACAGTTTCAGGTGAACGGTGAAGGGACTCAGCCATGCATGCACATGTATCCATTCTCCCCGCCTCCCACCAGCAGCTCTCACTTTGTAGAGGAGGAAGCTTAGGCTCCCAGAGGGACAGTGACTGGACCCAGGCTGCCCAAGAGGACACGCTAGAGTCGCATGCCTGGTCTCTGCAGACCTCCTACTCTCCCTCTAGTGTTACAGGGAAGAGAGGGTTTTCACCGGGACGAGCTTCTCTGTGACCCAGCAACATGGAGACGTGTGGGCTACGTAGTTAGGGAGTGCCTGCCGAGGTTGCAGAGCCCCTAAGAAGGCCCAGGTGGGCAGGTGCCATAGGGCTTCCCTGATAGCTCAGTGGCTAAAGGATCTGCCTGCAATGCAGAAGGCCCCGGTTTGATTCCTGGGTCAGGAAGTTCCCCTGGAGAAGGGATAGGCTTCTTGGGATTCTTGGACGTCCCTTGTGGCTCAGCTGGTAAGGAATCCACCCGCAATGCGGGAGACCTAGGTTCGATCCCTGGGTTGGGAAGATCCCCTGGAGAAGGGAAGGGCTACCCACTGCAGTATTCCGGCCTGGAGATTCCCATGGACTGTATAGGTTTGCAAGCAGTTGGACACCACTGAGCAAATTTCACTTTCGGAGACAGAGTATATTTTGCTTCCTTTGTGTGTGTGTGTGTGTGTGTGTGTGTGTGTTTACTTAACCAAACTTTCATTTAAAAAACTTTATTGTCATCAAAGAAATGTGTATACGTAGTTTGATGAGTCAAAGGTTTAAGACCTGGAAAAAGTCTGCTGTTTCTCCCGATCCTCTTCACCCACAATTCCCACAGCCCAGGGTGGAAATCTTTCTAGCTTCCAACTTTCTAGCTGAAGCCATTGACTTTGCCTCTGCTGTTCTAAATTAAAAGCTTATCTTGCTTTGTCTTGATTGTTCAGATTTAAACATTATCTAATGAATTATTACAACAAAAGATGAGGATGTAGCTCTCATAACAACTGAACACTTACTGCTACCTCCAACACACATTTCACCTCTCTTAGTCTTCCTCATGATTATATCCCAGGTTTTGGCATTCTAAATGTTTTGAGTAATGACATCTTTAGTTGCTAAAAGTTAAGTACCATTTTTTTTTTTGCTAACTTTTACATCAATTTGGGTTTTAAATCCCTCTCCCACACAGTGGGCTCTTTTTAATACATTTTTTTAAGATTAGGGAACTATTTAAATAGAGTGAAATACATTTTTTTTAGCGTACAGTTCTGTGAGTTTTGACAGATGTATACAACTGTGAAATTGCCACTATAGCCAAGATACAGAACAGCTCCAGTCAGTTCAGAAAATTCCCCCACACTCACTAATACTCAACCCTTCCCCAGCTCCCAGCCCCTGGTGTCCAGTGAATGGTTTTCTGGCCCCAGAGTGCTGCCTTTGCAAGATGGTCATAGAACTGGAAACATCCCAGTACGTAGTCTTTATTTATTTGCCCACGCAGCAGGCTTGCGGGATCTCAGCTCCCCGACCAGGGATCAAACCCGGGCCCCCTGCAGTGGAAGCACAAGGTCCTAACCACTGGACCACAGGGAAGTCCCCAATACGTAGTTTTGAATCTTTCACTGAGCACAGGACACCTAGTTGTGTGTCGTGGTAGTTTGTACCTTCTCGTTACCTCGTAGTTGTCCCCTGTATGGAGGTACCACAGTCTATCCACCGACCAGATAAGAAGCATTTGGATTGTTTCTGGTTTTTGGCAGTTTCAGATAAAACCAGTATAATGTTCATGGACAAGTTTTGTGTGAACAAAGGTTTTCCTTTTAGGTAAACACCTCGCAGGGGAGTTGTCGGGTTATGTGGTAATGTGTAGTTAGTTTTCTAGGAAACTGTGAAACTTTCCAAAGGGGCTGGTATCCACTTTGCATTCTCACCAGCAGGGAATGAAGGGATCCGTTTGATCCATATCAGTTCCAGGATTTTCCTTTTTAAAAGTCATTCTAATAGGCTTGTGTAGTCATTTTGTTTAGCTCAATACTGAGGGTCTACCTTTTAAAATTATGCAAACAGTATTCCTGAGTCATGTAGTATACTATAATCAGTCTTTGTGTATGATTTTTGCTTTTTTCCTCTTTTTTAAAGTTTAGTTTTCTCTGTACCTATAATTAATACATCTAAGCTCTCTATTAAAAACAATTAATCTCCTTTGCTATACACTTAAGACAAATTAGGTGGTTTATCAATATGATCATTTTCCTGGGGAAATATTTCATGGAGCCCTCCACCCTTTTCCCACCTGGATGGACATCATTGAGGTCTGAGGCTAAGCTGTCCTGGGATCTCCCTTCATTGTTTTCTTCGGAGTACGTCACTTCTTTCACGTGTGGAGCCCATGTTATCTTTTATTTTGGGGGCAGCACAACGTGCAGATGGGCTGAGGTGTAGTCCTGAGATATTCTTGAGGGGTAGTCCTGAGACATTACCTGTTCAAAAAGGTCTTAGTGCGTATTTAACTCAGTGTGGCGAGGTACAGAATTTTAGATTAGAAATAATTTTCTTACAGATTTTGAAGATCCACATTTTCTTCTGGCTTCAAAGGTTGGTGTTGAAAAGTCTGATGAAACTTAATAGACTTCTTTCTTCATATCTCTGGCAGTTTTTAGGTTCTTCTTTTCGTCCTAGGTATTTCAGTATTTACTGATGACATCATCTGGGGTGGGTCTCCTTCATCCATTTTCCTGGACACTTGGCGATTCCTTCTCCTCTACAAACGCAGGTCCTGTATCTTTGGGAAAACTCTCAATAACACATGACTGATATTTATTTGGGATCTTTCCCCGCCCCACTAGTTTGTTGACTCTGTTCCTTCTTTCAGAAAGATCTGTGATTTAGCTGCTGGACCTCCTGATCTCTCTATTCTGGGAGAAACTCTTTTTCAATTTTATCTTCTACACTCTGATTGGATTTTTAATTCCCATGATCATATTTCTGTTTTTGAAGAATTCGATGTTGTAGGGAGTGCTGGTGGTCCAATGGTTAAGGATCCATCTTCTAATTCAGGGGATGCCGGTTCAATTCCTGGTCAGGGAACTAAGATCCCACATGCCATGGGCCAATGAAGCCCATGCCCAGCAACTAGAGAGAAGCCTGTGCACTGAGCTAGAGAGAGAAAAAAGAAAGCCCAAGCGCCGAAATGAAGAGTCCATGCACGTCAACAGACCCCGTGCAGCCAAAATGAAATTTAAAAAAAGGAAAGAAAGAATTAGAGATTACTGTTGGAACATTTTTATTTTAGCACCTGTCCTTGTCTTGTGAATGCAGCGTTTTATGTCTAAATACAGCGATCATTTGTTAGTGTGGCGCGGCCTTAAACCCCGTAGTCTACAGTGTCTGCAGCGTGCACTGACAGTGGACCGATGCATGACTGAGCCCTTGACAAGTCACCTCAGCCTTCTCTCTTCCTCCTTGCACACAGCCCATCGGGGAGACCTTAAGGCCAGTGTGGGGGCCGATGGATAAGTGCTACCCCGTGACCACTCAGGTGGGTGAGGGCTGGGGACTCCTCCTCCCCTGAGTGGGGCGTCTGTCCTGGGGCTCCTCGGTGGGCACACACGGAAAGAGGATGGGCCAGGCAGGGAAGGGCTCCCGGGCACACTCAGCTCTAAGTGACGGCCCCTGTTTCCCTCTGTAGAGACGCAGAGTCAGGAGTGGGAAGAAGCATGACTCTGAGGTAAGTGAGGCCTGGCCAGGAAGGGCCCGGGGCTGGGGGCTGCCACCTGTCCGTGCTCCCCGAGACAGGAAGTCCGTCCAGCGCATGATCAGGGCCCCAGGGATAGCGGGGGGCTCCTTTAGGAAACCTACAACCCGACCACACCTCGAGCTGAGAAGGGAGGGGCTTCCCTGGAGAAACAAAGAACTACAGACTCCAAGTGTGCACAGCAGGAGGCGGGGGAGGGCATCAGATGGCCTTGCTGCCCACTTACTGCCCTCGTGCCCCTCTGCAGGCCGTGACTCCCAAGGCAGCGGGAGGACCGAACGATGCTGCCTCCAAGGAGGAGACTGCTGTCTTGTCTAGGGAGGAGGTGGGGCCCCCGGGGGAGGAAGCAGCCAGCCTCATTCCTGGTGCAAAGGGGGTGACGGAGAAGGAAGAGGTGGCAGGAACCCCAGGATGGCAGGTAAGGGAGCCTGGTGCTCAGCTGGAACACCATCGCCCTGTGGGTCCTACTGGGACGCCCCCGGGCTCTGCAGGGTGGAGGGGAGAGGCCAGGCCCATGCCACCGTGGCAACAGTGGGGGGAGGCCGGGGCACCCCAAGACCACGGAGTCAAACTGCCATCCCGGCGGAGCGACAGCTCTGCGTGTGGCTGAGAGGTGCAGACACGGTCTGAGCGGCGAGGGGATCTGAACCCCAGCCTCCCCCGACTTCTCGAGAAGATAGGCCTGTCTCCCCAGCTGCACAATGTGGAACCTGCCTCTTCCCACCCCGTGCCCCTTCTCCCTTCCTAGGAGAACAAGAAGGCCCAAAAGGAGTTGGCCGTGTATGTTTCTGGTAAGACAGCAGACGCCACCCTGTGCAGCGGGACTGCCCTGCTCCCTCATCTCAGGGACCCTGCAGAGGGCACAGATAGCTGAGCTCCTGCCCGGCCCTCCTGGCCCAGGGAGGGGGCGGGGATGAAGGCCAGGCAGCCTGATGCCCAGCCGTCTCTGAAAGAGCCCCCTGCATCCTTCTTCCTGCTTGGGTTGGCAGGACTTGAGGCCACTACCCTTGGGCTGGAGGAAGGTTTCTGCCTTTTTAGCAATACTGACCTGTTTTCCTGGGAACACAGCGTACCCTAGCCCTGGGCAAGGTTCCTTCCAGCAGGGTACTCACAGGGCGTGTCTGTGTGTGCGTTTTAGAGGCTTCCGAGGTGGACATCATGGAGGAAAGGCCCGGGGGCTGGGTCCCCCAGCTCTTGAGGAAGCTCTGGCTGGGCTGGTTCCCCGCCTCTGACATCCCGAAGACTCAGAGCCACGAGTGACACTGTGTCCAATAAAACCACAGCTGATGCTTCTGCAGGCCCGGCCTCCTCCTTTCAGGGCCCTCAGATTTCTGCAAACTCCGTGTGGCTGCGTCCACGGCCCCTGTCCCAACCCGCTGCAGGAGCACCGCCTCCCGCCACTAGGCGCAGACGTGGGTATGCTGGAGACTCACAGGGGCCCTGGCTGGCCTTCTGAGTCAGTGCCAAGGGACAGGCCAGGTTCCCTGAATGTTGAGAGCTGACTGTCATGAAGGCACAACTGGCTTGATTAGCGGCTGGTGCTGCTGACCTGTCTGGGGTCTCCCAGCTCTTAACCTCAATGTGCCAGGGAGTCTGCCTGAGACTCAGGTGAGCAGACAGTCAATAGAGCCCTTGGGCGGTGTCTGTGTGAGCTCAGTCCAGACCAGCCTGGGGGCTGGAGGTGGAGGATGGGTGTCCCTGCCCGTGGCCGGGGCTCCAGGCTTAGAAGGTCTCAGCCTCTGAGTCGGCGCAGGAAGACAGGACCCGGCAGCCATCAGAGGCAAACCTGCTCCTGGCCGGAGGCGAAACAGAAGCCCAAGGCCACATGGTGGCAGAGCACAGCAAGGATGAGGGCCAGGGTGTCCTCCTCTGAGCTCTGCAGGGCCTCCTTCAGCTCGGCCGTCCCGCTGTCACAGGACCCAAGGTTGACCCTGTCCCCAGGGCACGCCTGCGGTCCATAGGGGCTCATTCCCGGCCCCTGCCTAGCCTCCCGAGAGCCCGGTCTCACCTGGCCACTCAGAGGATGGAGCCCCGGGTTGGAGCCGAGCTCTAGTGTGGCCGTGAGTGGTAACTCCGACTGGGCAGGGGCTGGGGGATGAGTGTCCTAAGGGGCAGAGAAAGGGGGCCCATCCTATAAAGAGGCCCAGGGAGGTGGCTCCCTCCTGGGAAGAGCTCCGGCCTCAAGAGACTGAGCGCTATGATCTCACCCTGCATATCACTTCCCAGTCCCGCCCCCACTTTCTGGGGCCGCAGACTTGAGGTGCTGGCTGACCTGCGGCATCTAGAGCAAGGCTGCTGTGACTAGGCCTGAAATGCGGGTGTGAGAGCTGTTGGGGCCCCTTATTGCATGGGGGCCTGAAGTCTCTCCCCAGCCTACGTGAGCTCATCCCAGCAGAAGCCAGAAGCTGTTTATATAGGCTCGGTCACTACACCCAGCAACCGATGTTGGGTCTCCCAGGGTGTCTGGGTGTAAGCCTCAGTACACGCATCTCACAGTACACCCTGCTACACCTTCAGAGCCTCAGTACATCCATTTGTTAAACGGGGTCAAATGCCAGGTAAGGATGAATCAGTCTGGGGGGTGGGGGCTGGTTTTGGGGAGACTGCTGAGGCTACATGTCTGCCAGGGTATGGTTAGGGGCCCCAAGTGGGACTCAAGTCAGGATGGAGCCACCAGACACTGGTTTATTGAACATCAGGGCTACCGCTGAGGTTGGGGGCTGGGTGCCTGCCTCTAGCGGGGCACCGCACAGAGCTGGTACGGGCCTGGGGACACCAGGAAGGCAAAGACACCGTGGTAGCTGGGGTGTGGCTGCCCGGCAGGCACCCAGAAGCTGAAGCGCTGCAGGAGGCTGGTGAAGAAGAGGAAGAGCTCCATGCGGGCCAGGGGCTCCCCGAGGCACGCGCGGCGGCCTGTGGGCGGGCACGGGGGCTCTGTGAGCCTGGGCTCTACCCCTCCAAGACCCCCTCAGGAAGGGCAAGCAAACCGAGCACCCCCCCACCCCCAAGGTACCTGCGGAGAAGGGTATGAAGGCCTCCTGCTTGACGAAGCGGCCCTGGGCATCCAGGAAGTGCTCCGGGTGGAAGCGGAAGGGCTTCTTCCAGAGGGTCTCGTCCTTCAGCACTGACGACAGGTTGGTGATGAGTGTCGTCCCCTGGTGGCAAATGTCTGGCGTGGGTGAGGTCTCGATCGGAGGCGGGGGGTGTGGGGTGCCCAGACCCCTGACACCAAACACACGTGGACACACACACATGCCTGGCACACACCTGGACTCTTCAAGTATCCGCAGCCCAAGAGGTTTCTCAGCACCGTCCCCTTCCCCATGGCAGGTGCCCTTACTGCCCCTCTGCACGGGCTCCGCCAACACTGTGACATGGTCTAGTTTGTCTTCCCTGCCCGAGCAGGGAATCAGAGGGACAGAGCCAGGCCTGCTCTGCTCTCCTCTCCACGCCCACCCAGGCTGGGACATTCGGCACCTGCGGCCATGAGGACGGGGTGGCTCGGGTTCCAGTCCTGGCCACACCTGACAACACTCACACTGGGGATACCAGGTGGAAGGTGGTGCGGAGCCGGGGTTGGGAGATCCACAGGCCTACCTTTGGGATGTGGAAGCCCTGCACCTCGATGTCACGGGATGTCATGTGGGGCACTCCCAGAGGGATGATGTCTGCAAAGCGTTGCACCTCATGGACCACGGCCACGGTGAAGGGCATGAGGGCCTGATCCCCCATCTCTGGTCGCCTCACCTGCCCTATCACCTCATCGATTTCCTGCTGGACATGTCCTGGAAAACAAGCGTCCTCATGTGGTCAGACCCAAGGGCCGGGCTCCCACCTCCTCCGGACGCCACTCCGAGGAAGGCGCTGTGACATCTGCGCTGGGGCTCAGCTTCTGCGCAGAACTGCTGGCTGGGGCCAAACCAGCTGAGCTCAGGGGCCTCGGGCTGGCCCCGTCCTATCTCGCCCCTCCACCCCCCACTCCGGGCTAGACTCACGCTGCACGTCTGGGTGCAGGATCATGAGGAGGAGGGCCCAGGCCAGTGTGGTCGAGGTGGTGATCATCCCGGCGGAGAACAGGTCGGCCACCACCAGGCGAAGGTTCGCATCATTGAAGCTGCTCTCGGGGTTCCCCTTGGCCTGGGTCACACCGGGAAGGTAAGCCCAGGGACAGAGGTGAAGTCCCCACATGGCCTCCCACTCTGCTCCGGTCAGCCCAGGTGTCTGATCCCTGGGTGATACACAGGCCTGAGTTTGCCTCCTGGGCCCTCAACACACATCCCTGTCGTGATCACCTCACCTCCTTCACCTCATCCAGGAAGGCGTCGGTCAGGTCTCGGGGTGGCTGAGTCGGGTCCCGGGTCATCTTCTGCTCAGCGATCAGCTCATCAATCAGGGCCATGAAGGCCTTCTGCCCCGGGAAGATCTTGGCAGCGAGCCCTGGGATGCGCAGGAGCGCTGGCACAGCTTCCACCACCTGTGCGGGTCACAGCCGTGGGGCCCTGGGACCGCCTGGTGCTCAGGGGCTCACCAGTCAGGTCCCAGCTTCCTCCAGTGTCCCCACCATCGACCTTGTTCCTCCCTAGGCTCAGACCCTGCCGCTCTCTCCTGGCCCTGAGCCCAGAAAGAGAAACCTAAAATGTATATATCAATGGGTACTGCTGCCTTCCAGTGAGAGTCCTCCCTCCCCTAAGTGCGCTGACCTCGCCGGGCCTCTCACATCTGGGGTGTCTGCCATCTCCTCACTTCCAAGCCTTTTTCCTTGCTGGTCCCTTTCCCGGAAAGCCTTCTCCCGGGTCCCTTCTCCGGGGGAGACCCGTTGGAGGACTGAGGCCGCCTCTACGGAGCTCCCTTCCCGCACCTGGCGCACTAAGCTAGATTCTTCTTTCAGCATATCCTCCATCACGTCCAACAGCTTGACGATGCGAGGATCCTTGTACTCGAAGCGACACCCGAAGGTCAGGGAGGCGATCACGTTGCTCACTGCTTTATTCAGGAGGTCCTTGGGGTTAAATGGACGTCCTGGAAGGGGACGGTGCAAGGTAGGGCGTCGCCTCCATCTCTTCTTTCCCAGGCCTCTCCAAACCTCCCAGACCTCCATGTGCCTCTGCCCCAGCACTCACTCACCGGCCTGGTCGGCGAAGGCGGCACAGAGGCAAGAGGCCTCCTCGGTCACCCACTGCTCCAGTGACTTCTTCCCCAGGCCGAAGTTGCGCAGGGTGGACAAGGAGAAGCGCCGCTGCTCCCGCCACGCGTTCCCATAACGCGCCAGGATTACTCCTGGGGGCGGGGCGGGCACGTGGGCGTGGCTCAGGTCTGGCCCCGCCCCGCTCGGGGCTCTGCTCACATCCCGCCCCCTTGGGAGAAATTCTCCAAGCTGCCCCAACCACACTGGCCTCGCCCTCCCCTCCCAAATCCCGCCCACTTTGACACCCCCTTCCATCTGGGGACTGGTCCCATTCGCTGACGGCCCACATTGCTCCCCGAATCTCCCCTGCTAGAGGCAAGTCGTGTCTCCACTTTTTATTTTGCCCACCGAGACCCCGTCTGCCACGTGGGGAATGTGCTGGCCCGGCCCTGCCCTGCCCACCCCGACTTTGTCCTCTTTCTCGCCCACCCTGACGTCCCCTTCGCGCTCGCAATGGCCCTGGGCCGCCCTCTCTTAGTAAGGCCCCCGCCCTCTGCCTCATCCAATTTCTCCTTCCCCAACGCTTGGCACAGTCTCCTTTCTCCACCTGCCGACCCCTCAAATTCGTTGGCTCTTTCCTGCACCGAATGTCCGCGACCCTGCCTCCGACTGCAGGGACGCGGCCTGCCCTCTCCGCTTGCCTTCAGCGCGCGGCCCGTAACCCAGGTGCTCATAGACGGCCGGAGGTGGACGGTCGGAAGTGTCCTGGCTGCGGTACACCAGCGCCTCGCGCACTGCTGCCAGCCCGTTGAGCACGACTACAGGCGTCCAGACCTGCTGCAGGCTGAACACGTTCCCGAAGCGGCGCCGCAGCTGCAGGCCAAAGGTCGAGGGTGTTTGGCAAGCCCAGGCCCCGCCAGGCTGTGGGCCCAGCCTCCTGGCGTTAGCCTCGTGGCACCTCTGGGCCCCCTCCAGCAGCGAGCAACTGCAAGGACTTTATCTAGTCTTGTGAGCCCCAGGGGGGTTACATCCACTCGTTTTGAGGATCTCAATTTGGGTCAGGCCATCCTACTCATAGACCCACCTATGACTGTGCAAGGGTCACCAAAATGGTCAGTAGGCCAAGTTAGCATCCTATTTTACAGGTGAAGAAACTGAGGTTCATAGAGGGGAGTGGGGAGGCCCACGGTCTCATGGAGGCAAAAGATTTGAACTGTGTCTCTCTCAACCTCAACGTTCCTGATTTAAATAAGGCTCATGACCAAACTCCTCTCCCCCATTCTCAAAACCTTCCCTCCCAACGTAACCCTCAGGGACTCAGGCTCACATAATTTAAGAACTGGCCGGCTGAAGCCCCAGCCTGTCGCCATGCTGTAAAAGCCCCCAGCCCCTGGCCTTGTCCTCTCTGACCTCTGTTTGGAAAATCCAAACTGTTCTCGGGCCCTGAACAAACGCCCTCCCTCAGGAAGCCTCTCAAACCCGCCTCCTCTCCGTGGCCCAGTTCCTCTTCTGGCCTGTGGCTTCACCCAGCGCCCACTGTCCGCTGCTCGGTGGGGCCCTAGGACCACCGCTGCGTGCTCCCCAGCCCTCCGTCCTTACCTGGCTAAAGCTGGGACGCGGGTCCTCGAAGTCCACCTGCAGCAGGTTACCCAGCACGGGCAGCGGCGTGGGGCCTGGTGGGTAGCGTGCGGCCCAACGTGAGCGCCGGTGCATCAGGTCCAGCAAGAGCGAGAAGATGAGCAAGGCCACGGCCAGGGCCCCCAGCATGTCCCCAGACAGCAGCCCCATGGCTGCCTCCGTGTGCGGTGGGTTCCTCACCAAGCCGGCACCCAGGACCAGGCCAGTGGGGCACTCTCACTCCACCTCCAGAGCTCCACCAGTCTGGGGCCTCTTTATAAAGGGGGCGGAGAACCGGCCTTTGCCCTCTGCCCTGCGGTATCTTGTCAGGGAGGTTGGGCTGCCAGAGGGCACAGAGAGGGGTCAAGGAGAGTCAGGTGCCCGGGTGGCCACTGTCCGTCACATGTGCTCTCCACGTGCTTCTGGAGGGTGGCTGGAGATCCCAAGAAGCTCCCCCTCCCCCAGCCTGACTACCCTGCTCGGCAGATTTCCGGCAACAATCCAGGGTCTTGGGAATGGATTCTGCCACCCACCTGTCACCTGTCACCCTCTAATGTGGTCACAGCCTCGTTCCCAGAACTTGTCCCTGTCCTCCTCCTGAGTGGCCTTCCCCTCCCAGCTATGTTACTGGTCCTTGCCCCGTGCTGGAGGGAGGACCTAATGATCAGAGGGACCACCGATAAAGTGTTCGGTGTCCCCTCACTTCCCACTAGTACACTCAGCACACACACAATCACATACTCCTAAACCACATTTACACATATTCACACAGTGACTAGCCCATGCTCACATGCCTATCTACACCCCCACAAGACCACATCCATGAACGCCTGTGTTACCACTTTCCACTCACAGAGACCCAGCACCAAGGTCTCTAGTTCTCACTGGCTGCCTGGACTCCCCGACTTCCCTACACCTCGAGGCTGCTCACAGTGATGCCGGCACCTTCACGTGGCTGGCTGCTGCCTCAGTTTCCCCCTGTTGTGGCGGTGGGAAGGTTGAATCTGGGGGTAGGGAGGCAGCAGGATTGTTTTCAGAGTTCCCTAATCACCCTGACCAGCCAGTTTGGTGGCCCAGAGCCCCTTTCCTAAGTTTGTCAGAAATTGGTCCTTGGACTTTCCAGTTCCTGTGGCCTCGAGGTGATGAATCTCCTCATGTAGGTGTCCATTTCCTGACTTGGAACAATGTAAGGTGGGCACTTTACCTTGTTGGTTGGGCTGCCAGTAAGCTCATGGTGCTAGGATGGCTTAGCACAGGCTGTGACTGTCCTTAGGGAAGCGGGCCTGCTTCCTCCTCCTAAATTTGTCCTTCAGTTCAGTTCAGCCACTCAGTCATGTCCAACTCTTTGGAACCCATGGACTGCAGCATGCCAGGCTTCCTTGTACATCACCAACTCCCGGAACTTGCTAAAACTCATGTCCATATCAAGTCGGTGATGCCATCCAACCATCTCATCCTTTGTCATCCCCTTCTCCTCCTGCCTTCAGTCTTTCCCAGCATCAGAGTCTTTTTAAGTGAGTCAGTTCTTCCCATCAGGTAGCCAAAGTATTGGAGCTTCAGCTTCAGCAACAGTCCTTCCAATGAATAGTCAGGGTTGATCTCCTTTAGGATTGATTGGTTTGATCTACTTGCTGTCCAAGGGACTCTCAAGGGTGTTCTCCAACATCACAGTTCAAAAGCATCAATTCTTCACTGCTCAGCTTGAGTCCAAGTCTCACATCCCTACATGACCACTGAAAAAACCATAGCTTTGACTAGATGGAGCTTTGTCAGGAAAGGAACATCTCTGCTTTTTAATATGCTGCCTAGGTTGTCATAGCTTTTCTTCCGAGGAGCAAGTGTCTTTTAATTTCATGGCTGCAATCATCATCTGCAGTGATTTTAGAGCCCAAGAAAATAAAGTCTCTCACTGTTTCCATTGTTTCCCCATCTATTTGCCATGAAGTGATGGGACTGGGTGCCATGATCTTAGCTTTTTGCATGTTGAGTTTTAAGCCAGCTTTTTCACTCTCCTCTTTCACTTTCATCAAGAGGCTCTTCAGTTCCTCTTTGCTTTTGTCCTTGAACATCAGCTGTTAAAACTTCAGAAGACAAGGGGATGGAAACCAGACGGGGATGTAGCTTCTTGACCCTCAGAGGCCTGCCGAGGACCTCAAGGAATGGATTCCTGGGCCTCCCCTCTCTCCATGGGTCCAGTCCACTCTGGCTGCAGCCCATACCCTCTACTCTGGCTCTCTGGTTCCTTCCAGTCCTCCACAAAGGTGCAAATGCAAACCTTGGTACCGCCCCGCCCCAGTGTATGTTCCCTCCAGACTGCAATTATGGCTTCCAGGCACTCCCTCTCGGTCAGCCTCTTGCCTCCTCCAGGCAGGGGTTGGTCCCAATATGCCAGGGTTCTGCTCGCCTCAGAACTCTCCAACAACTCAAGCGGTGAGATTTGAGGTTGAGTTTTTAAACCAGTGAAGCTGATGGGAACTCAGAGGCCCAAACTCATTCAAATGTAAAGGCATGGAAACTCAGAGGGTGGGGAAGGGGGCATTTCCTGGGCAGGGGTCAAGTCCCCTGCACCCACCCCCCCATCCCCAGAGTATGTGAGGCAACCTTTCTTTCTGAACACCGCTGGAGTAGTTGAGGGTCCTGGAGGCTCTCCCGTAGCTCACTGAGAGCCTGCAGGAGGCGCTCTGCCCTCCTGTACCCCCTTACCCTGTTCCCTCCCTCGCTCCCACCCCCAACAGTGAGAGGACCGGTTTTGCCCAGGTTGCCTTGGACAGGACCGAGTGCTTGTGGTCTGCAGGTGTGGGTCCTCAACATTTGCAATCCCGGCTTGGCTTGTGCAAGCGGCTCCTCCCCTTCCAAATTCCCACATCTCCACGCTCCTGCCAGGCTGGGGGCCAGCGGTGGGGCTGGCTGGGGCCCAACTGCCCTTCCTCAGTTTATCCAGCCTTTCGTGTGTCTTGCCTTGGCCGAGGCTTGGATTCCATTCTATCCCGCTCTGTCGGGACACACCCTGTGCCGGTTGCGGGGCTGGGCAGAGGGATGGTGAGGGTGGGCCCCAAGAGCAGGAGTGGGAGCTAGGGAGGTGACGCACCAGCCAGCAGGTGCAGGGCCGGCTCTGAGGGCTGCGGGGACGTTTCCCCAGGCTGGAGTAGACTTTCTGGGGAGACGTGGAGGACCTCGGGGGGCTTGGGACTGCAAACCGGGGTAACCTGAGTGCGGGGTTAAGGCACCACTGCAAAGCAGCAGGGCGGTGGCCGCTCCAGGCGGGGCTTTTAGTCTGGCAGAGGACTGGATCGTGGGAAACTCAGGTTCTTGGGCCTCAAGGAGGCAGAGAGACCAGCTTTGAGGCCACTTAAAAGACCAAGAGGGGAAGACCCGTGGGGAGCCCTGGGGCCTTCTCAGAGCCAGCCAGTGGTCTCCCATCCAACCTCAGTTGAAGGTTTCTGTCCCCGTTGGCAGCAAAACACACCTCGGGGCCTCAGGTGTTGGCCCCGGCGGGAAGGCGCCTCCGACCCCCGGACCTGGGCCTGCGTCCAGGGAGACGTCAGCAAGATGGCGGGCGAGCAGCGCTCCAGGCCTGAGCCCCCGGCGCGGAGACCCAGCCCTGGGCCCCCAAGGCGATGCGGAGGAAGCTCCCTGGAAAGCAGGTGGGCAGCTGCAGTGCCCAGCGAGGGCGCGGGGAAAGCTGGTGGCATTTCGCTCACCCCCCGCCCCGCCCCTGCGGCAGACACCCCCCTCAGTTCCCGCTCCTGCCTGGGGGGCCGGAGGAGTGAGAGCCAGCTCCCGCCGGTGCGGGGTCCCGCGGGCCCAGCGGGCTCACCTGACTCCGGTACCGCCCGCTGGGGTCCAGGCAGCGACCGCGCCTGCGAGTCGGCGGACAACGGGGGGCGGGGCCGGGAGCCGCGGGGTGCAGGCCGATTCCTGGGATTTTCTGGGAACTGGGCTGGGCAAGACGGGAAAGTTCTGGAGCTTGCCTGCACAACGTGAACTTGCCTCAGGCTACTTATAGGTTAAGGTGGTCACCTTAACCTTGTTTTTGAATCTGGTTTAAAAACTTAACTCTTCAAAAATACACCAACACTGCACACCTATCATAGAATGGTCAAAATCCAGAGCACCGACACCGCCCAGCTCCCCGACACCGCCCAGCTCCGAGGGTGAACTCTCATTCCCTGCAGGTGTGTGGGAATGCAGACTGGGGCAGCCACTTTGGAAGACAGTTTGGCAGTTGCTTATTAAAAAACAAACAAACAAACCCTGCAACTTGTGTTTATAGCAGTTTTATTCATAATTGCTGAAGAGTGGAACAACTGTCTTCCAGTAGGTGAATGGATAAACTGGGGTGCATCCAGGAAACAGAACATTTAAGAGAAACTGAGCCTTTTAAAGGTGAAAGAGAGTGAAAAAGCTTAAAACTCAACATCCAGAACACTAAGCTCATGACATCTGGTCCCATCACTTCATGGTAAATAGATGGGGAAAAAAACTGACACAGCGACACTTTATTTCCTTGGGCTCCAAAATCACTGCAGATGTGACTGCAGCCACGAAAGTAAAAGATGCTTGCTTCTTGGAAGAAAAGTTAAGACAAGCCTAGACAGTGTATTCAGAGACATCACTTTGCCAACAAATGTCCATATAATCAAAGCTATGGTTTTCCAAGCAGTCATGTGTGGATGTGAGAGTTGGACCATAAAGAGGGCTGAGTGCTGAAGAACTGATGCTTTTAAACTGTGGTGCTGGAGAACAGTGTCTCTTGGACGGCAAGGGACCAGTCAGTCCTAGAGGAAATCAACCCTGAATATTCACTGGAAGGACTGATGCTGAAGTTGAAGCTCCAATACTTTGGCCACTTGATGTGAAGAGCCAACTCATTGGAAAAGACTCTGATGCTGGGAAAGATTGAGAGCAGGAGAAGGGGATGACAGAGGATGAGATAGTTTGATGGCCTCACTGACTCAATGGACATGAGTTTAAGCAAACTCCGGAAGATTGTGAAGGACAGGGAAGCCTGGGGTCCATGGCATCACAAAGAGTCGGACTCTGAGCAACTGAACGACAAAAAGAAACGAGCTATCGTGCCATGAAAAGACATGGAGGGACCTTAAATACCTATTACCAAATGAAAGAAACCAATGTGAAAAGGCTACATACTGTGTACTCCAACCATATGACATTATGGAAAAGACAAAAACTATGGACATAGTACAAGATCCGTGGTTGCCAGGGGTAAGAGGAGGGAAGGATAGAGAGAGGGAGCACAAAGAATTTTTACAGCAGTGAAGGTGCTCTGTATGATACTATTGGTGTGTACATGTCATTATGGGCTTCCCTGGTGGGCTCAGAGGTAAAGAATCTGCCTGCCAAAGCAGGAGATGTGGGTTTGAACCCTGGAGTCAAAAGATCCCCTGGAGAAGGAAACGGCAGCTCACTCCAGTGTTCTTGCCTGGGAAATCCCATGGACAGAGGAGCCTGGCGGGCAACAGCCCATGAGGTTGCAGAGTTGGGCAGGACTTAATGATTAAACAACAGCAAACCCATGTCATTGTACATCTGTCCAAACTCAGAGCGCACACCACCAAGAGTGAACCCCAACATAAACTATGGGCTGTGGATGGCAATGATGTGTTGATGATGCAAGTTCACCAAAGCAGAGGCACTGCTCTGGTGGGGAACGTTGATACTGGGGGAGGCTGTGCATGTGTGTGGGGGCGGAGGATACATGGGGCATCTCTGTACCTTCTGCTCAACACGGCAATGAACCTAAAACTGCTCTAGAAATAAAAGTCTGTCAAAAAAATACAAAGAACTCAAGAGTGGCAGGAGTTGAAATGCCCATGAACAGTTGAGGCTTCTTGCAGAAGCTGGAAAGCTAGAGTTGGGAGTGAGGCGTGGAACAGGGCCACTCCCTAGTGAATGGTCATTTCAGGAGCCAGTTTGAGGAACCATCACCAGTGTTTTACTCAAAGTATCATCAGCCCAGTCAAAAGAACTAAAAAAGGCAAAATGAAGAACCAACCATCTGCTGTCAGGAAAGTATTTTCCCAAAGATACGTTCAAGGTTTGTGGTTTAAGCCCAACACCTGCAATCTCTCCATCTCATCTGAACTGTGTGAATGCCAAGACCAGACGGGATGCTAAGGAAATAAAAAGCCGTCATTCCTATGCAGGTCCCGTGGCCCACACAGCACACCCACCCACAGCTCCATCCTGCTGGAGAATGAGAAATGGACCACACTGCTGGATGGGGCCATTACAGCAAAATTAATCTGCCACTTCTGCAGCCTCAGACTGGTAGGCACACCAGAACTCATTTACAATTGTTATTTCTACTTCACAACATCCCTGCCAGTGTTTCTGTTCTCTAAAACAAAACAAAGTCCATTAACATCGCATTATTTTTTAATAAGCTTCAAAATTCATGTTGATTGGAATTTTGTCCTCCTCTCAACTTAAGTAATCTAGCTATTCCCACATACGCGGCTGAGTTCCACCCGCCAAGCTGAGCAGCCAGAAATGTCCTTGGTTGGGATCATTCCAGGGTCTGCTGCAAGGGCCCTGGGCCTGCGGGAGGCCTGGGTGGCTGGGCCGGTCTGATGGCAGCCACCTCTGCAGCAGAACCAGAGCCAGCCTGGGGGCTGGGCTGGGAGGAGAAAGAGACGCGTTTGCTTCAAACAAAAAAGGAAACAAGGTTAAAATGAAGTTTATTATTTTTTTGATTTTTTTTGTTTTGTTTTTTAAATAAAACTGTTTGTGAAACAGCTATTTTATCCCCACGGCAGAGTGACCCCTGAAAGATGCACTAACCCCTTCTTAAGGCCTTAACAAGATTTTTTTTTTGTACTTTTTTCTTTTTTTAAAACTCAGATATTTAAAAATTATACAATTTACAAAACAAAACAACACAACACAACATAGAGAGTCATGTAGCGCGGGGCTGCTCAGCTGACAGGCTCCCTTTTCTTTTATAAAAATGAAAGCAAAGAAGAAAGGGTGGAGTGGGTGCTCCTGGTCAGCTTACCCCACGTGACCACACCTGACACCGCCCCCTCCCTGTGTCCACTCCTACGGCTCAGGTTCGTCCCGTCCGCCCTAGAGCTCAGGGCACAACAGCTGCCTGGAACATGCCCAGGGGCGGCCATCCCTTGATCCTGCCGGCCAAGCCGCTTTGGTGGGACGCTCGGGGCTCTCACCGGCCAAGGACCCAGGACACAGTTGTGACCGTGGGGCCTCCGCCTTGGGGCATCTGCCAATGTGCCCCCCCCGCCCCGAAAAAAAAATAAAAATTTAAAAAAATAATAAATAAATAGTGTTTCTGGAAATGAAAAAGATTTATTTTTGTGTTTAAACATCATTCTCCCATTCTTGAAAACACAGACCATCCCCCACTTCCCTCCCCCCTCGACCTTCCCACTTTTGAGACAAATTACTGACAAAGACATGGTTTGGTGTGGTTCGTCTGTCTTTCCAACCCCGGGTCTAGAGTCTGTGAATTGTGTGAGCTGGGCCAAGGATCTAAGCCACCCCTGTCCTTGTGACATCAGAGTTTGTTCGGTTCAATTTCATATTTAAATTTCACGTTATTGGAACAAATTTGGAGTTCTTTAACTAGATAATTTTAAAATAGAATCAAAAGGGATAGCGCACCTTTCATTTAAACAAAGTCTTTCCAGACTAAAAATAGATTTATATATATATATTTTTATCCCTCCCTTTTAATTCCCCCCACCCTTTCCCATCATCCCACCCCTCCCCCCTCCCCCCACACTGTCACTATGGAGATTGTGTCCATGGAAACAGCCATTCCAACTTCTTGGGTCTTTCTTTCCTGTGGTGTCACCGGTTTGAGAGTGATGTAAGAACTTAGGAAGGAAGTGCTGGCGCCGGCAGGCACGCGGGGTGGGGCGGGGTGGGGTGTGGCTGCACAGGAGGACCGTTTCCATTCCATCACGAGTGTCCACCACCTTCTCATCTCCACAGTCTCACCTGCAAGACAAACAGACACTGGGTGCTGGGAACCTCTGCGTGCTGCTGTAGCCCACAGCCCCTGCTCTGTGGTGGTGCTGGGGTGGGGGGACTCTGCAGGGTCCGGCAGCCGGCACTGGAAACACCCAGGGCCCATGGTGGAGCCGGCTGTGTGGCCCTGGGCCTGAAACAGGGCAAAGGCGGCAATGACCTGGCCAGCCGCACGGGGAATGGACTCAGAGTGCCCGTGCCCAGGGCTGTGGAGGGAGCCGAGACCAGGAGAGACTCCCCTGACCCCGGAGGTGGGGCTGCCCGCAGTGGGGCAGCTCTTGGGGTGACCCTTTTTCAGGACGCTGCCCCCTGTGGCCTACAGCAGGACTCAGCACGTGGGCCTGGGGACCTGTCCTCACAGAGATGGCTGAGCACCCAGCTGATGTGGAAGAACCAGCTCAGGACCATGCCCGGGTCGCCTCCAGCTACAGGCGGCTCTCACACCTAACAGCGAACACTCCTGGGAGCTCCGCTCTGGGAAAGGCGGCTCTCAGGTCATCCTCTGGGGCGCCCCAGGCCCTGCCACTGGCGTCTGTCTCTCCTTCCGGCCTGGGCTCCAGGCTTAGGAAGACTCTCCTGGTGACCACGGAGGGTATGCAGGCTTGTACCAAGGGCATCCTCAGGACTCTTCATGGGTCCTTACGTATGCAAAGATCTCAGAGACACAGCAGTTTCCGAGGAATTCAGTCCAGAAAAATTAAGCCAAGAGCCATGTGTGGGGAGAGGGGCTCACCTGGCTTCTTCCTCAAACCCTTTCCGGTGCCCTCCACCAACCAATAAACCTCAGGAAACCCCAGGCATCACCAGTCCCTTTTCTGCTTCTGTAAAACTTACTAATTCACAAACTAGTTTAGGCTAGCCTGTGTATACGAGCTAAGAACAGACATCCCACCCACCATTGCCAGAGATTCCTAACTGCTTGGCAGAAAACATGAACAAACAGTAAGAGACCTACAGGGACAGCAGGACAGTCACTGCCCTCAGGTAAAGGCAAACCCCGGGCCGCTGGCTGCCTGGGCCAGAAGCTGAGCAGTCCTGCCACGGGCCACAGTGTGGCTTCCCCTGCACCCAGGGGGTCACCCCAGTGCCCCCTCCCCCAGCACTGAGGCTGCCAGGAAAAGGGGGAGAAGCAGCCTTCTCTGCTATCACCCCAGGAACTAAAGGCCCTCTGTCAAAGTGATGCCAGGGCAGGGCTGGCAGGGCGCCTCAAGCAAGAACCAAAGGGGTCAAACCTTGCCAGGGATGTGGGCCACGGCAGGAACAGAGGACAGGTGCCCTCACATCCTGCAAAGCTCGGCTTGTGGAGCAAGGGCCAGGGCAGGGTCTGCCCTCTCCGCAGCGCTTGGCACGGTCTCTGGCCTGCACCCCCCAGAACGCAGGTGGTCTCGGCACCAGGGTCTGCCTGGCAGGCGGGCTCTGCAGGCTGCTGGCCTGGATTCCTTCCCTTGGTGCCACCGGGGCCTGGTGGTCCATCCACACCCCTGCCTGCACCCAGCCTTCCGGCCTTCCCTGCAGGGCCCTCCCCAGGACCTGATACTTGACAGGCCCAAACTCCTGGTTCCCTGAATACAATGAGACCCTAATGTCTCCGTTATTCCTAAAAACTATTCCTTTAGTAGGAAGAATAGAAAGAAACCTCTTGAAACATCTAGTAGGGGCCATGCACTCTGCCAGGAGCCCTACAGACACTACTTCACTGGAACACTGTGAGGCCTGCCCCCTACTCCGCCCCATTATCTTGGAGACAAGGCCCTGAGAGGGGGCCTTGTGCGGCCTAAAGCCCCGGGCTGGTCAGACTTGGGCCTGGGGCTCACGGTCACAAAGCTCTTCTGACTGGGCCCCTGGGACTCTGCCTCAGAGCCTCCATCACTGCAGGTCTTGTCCAAAGGTGCCGGATGGGGCTGCGGAGGCAGCACCCGGGCAGAGCCGTGGCCCCTGAGATGAGCGGGTGGCCCTCTGTGCTGAGGCCACTCTCTTCTCTGTAGAGGCACCGGCATGTTCGGCTGTCGGCAACGATCAGGCCTTCATCCCAGGCCCAAGCGTTCCCATCAGCCTCTTTCTGCTGCCCTTCAGCTTCACCTCAGCCGCCTGGACCTGGGTGGGTCCCCCGCCTGGCTGAGGCTGCCCTCGCCTTTGTAAGCTGAGACCCGAGGCTGCTGGGGAGCACGTGAGGAGCCTGCGCCCGCCCAACACCATCAAGTCAGCACCCTCCTCCCTGGGCCGCCCCGTGAGGACAGGAACCACCATGCACGCCCCGTCCCCCCCGATCCTGGGTCAGTGCATGAAGAGGCTGAGACAGCCGCCCTGTCCTCATGGGAGGACAGTTGAGTGGAAGACGCAGACTGTATGTGAACATGCCAGCGACTCGAAAGCGTGGTGAGGCCAGGGAGGTGGCAGACTGGGGACAAGGGGACTGGGAAGGCTGCTCTGAGGACGTGCCCTGAAGCTGAGACCCAGAGCAGAGACGAGGCACAGCGCCGCGGCCCGGGGAGCCGAGGGGGCTGAGGAGTCAGAAGAGGTGACCCCAGGGCCTTCGGAGGTGAGCTGAGGAGCTGCACTTGGCCCTACAGGCAGCGGGAACCTCAAGTTGCGGAGAGACAGGAGCCGGCGCAGAGCGTGCGGGGCCGTGGGGTGGGAGGGAAGGGGACCTGGGACACGATCCCAGGCACTAACCTGGCACCCAGGCCAAGGCAGAGCTGGATGGAGGCCACGGCTTCCTGCCCACGGGGTGGGGGCCGGGTGGGAACGGGGTCCCCGTGTCTACTGCCGATGAGAACGGGGGCCGGGTGAGGAGCCCCATCCACTAGCTGCCCTGAGCTAGGGAGAGGGCCGCCCACCGATCTTTCCTTCCGGGCACAGCTGGCCTGGTGAGGGACTAGCGCCAGGTACCTCACGCGGCAGTGGGAGATGTGAACTCGCATCCCCGTGCCCCCAGCCCAGGGGTTTTCTGCCAGACAGGGCTGCGCCAGGCACGGTGGAGACATTTCTTCACGGAATCCTCACAAGGTTGGCCACTGTTAGTCCTCTTTTCATAGAAGGAGAAACTGAAGCACAGAGACGCTGAGTGGGCTGACCCTGTCACACCGCAGTCTCCACACAGGAATAATCGCTGCCCCTTCCCCACTGTGTAATGGTGGATCTGCGCCCGCAGCACAGACCCCAAGGTGAATGCTCCCTGAGGGGAGGGGCTTCGTCTGTCCCTCACGCTGGGGCTTCCCGCCACCTGCAGAGGGCTGAGGGGCCAACCCAGGAGAAGGGCCCTGCCCTGACATGACAAGCACTTCAGGGGGATGAGAGACGGCATTCTGTCCCTCCCTTCCCTCCAAGAGGGAAAGGTCTGACCTCAACAGACTTGAAACAACCCCAAACTGAGAGACCACTTAATCACTCGGCGCCTCATTTCTTTGGTATAAACATGACAGCAACACCAACCCTGTGAGCAATGGACCATGAGGCTTGTTGCCCTATGAGAGCCGAGGGCTCTGGCAGCTGGCAGAGCCCAAGAATGGGCAGAGAGGATGAACAAAATTAAAATTTCCAAGAGCAAACTGGGCCCAGACTTCCTATTTTTCTCAAACACAGGCTGGGACTCCAGGACAGGACCAAAAGGCCCCAAGTAACCAGTGGTTCTCCCCCAGCCGGCTCTTCCCAGACACTTCCGGGAACACTCCCCGTGGCCTCCGCCCCAAGCGGCTCTAAACACCAGGGCCGGGAAGGTGGCAGGGCCGCCCAGAAGCAGTGCCACCACCAAACCCAGGGACACACAGGGCCTGGCACCCTCTAGACTGCTGCTGCCTGAGGGTCACTGGACCCCGTGGGTTCTAGAAACGTGGGGAGCTCCCGTGGTGGCCAGCCTCCCGCCCCCACGCCCCGGAAGAGCAGGGAAGAAGAGAGAGAGAGCGTGGAGTCCTCACTGGACATCTTCATGAGAGCACTGTAACCCCCACGGGCTTGTCACCCAGCAGAGGGCCTTCTCTGGAGGCTGGTACCGGGACCCACCTAAGAAACAAGTGACTTCCCAGATGAAAACTGCCACGTCCCAGATGAATTTTAGGCAGACTCCCACCCCTTGTAACACAAATGCTCAGTCGTGTCCGACTTTTTGCAACCCCACTGACTGTAGCCCTCTAGGCTCCTCTGTCGATGGCATTTTTCAGGTAAGAACACTGGAGTGGGCGGCCGTGCCCTCCTCCAGGGAATCTTCTGGACCCAGGGATCGAACCCGAGTCTCCTGTCTCCTGCACTACCCCAGGGGAAGATCTGTAACAGGGGGGAGGGAACATTCCAGACACTCAGGCACACAGTGCTGCCCCAGAGAGCCAGGCCTTGCACACCTGTGTGTGGGTCGCAGACGCCTGGAATAAACACAGATGCCCTCACCTGAAGAGAGATAATCCCTTAAGAACATTTCTGAGACAACCAGCCGCCCATCCCATCCTGTAGAAGCAAGTGCCCCAGGTTAGTTACATTTTGCTTTTTCTTCTGTTTTGCTTTTCCCTCAGTGACTCAGTAAGGAGGGGGAGGATGTGGAAGGCGGGGTGGGGGTGGGCACTGCAGGCCCACTGCCTCGAGAGACCCAAGTCATATAATCCTGCTCTCACAGGCACATGCTACCAGCCCCACCACGAACCCACAGACGCACTCATGGAAAAGCACAACTCAATCTCCTGAGATTTTTTAAAGTAAAATTAAATGTGGTGCTAAAGTCTACTAAATCTTTGAGGGGATTTTCCTTCCCTTTGTACTTCTATGAAAGGAATCTTTCATAGCACCGGGAGGTGGGGGAAGATTTCACATAACAAAACTTGGGGAATTTTTTTTTTTTTTTTCAAAGGAGAACTCACTCAAAGGTTTAGAGTTGTGGTGGTGTATTTGCTAAGTCGTGACTCTTTGCGACCCCATGGACTGTAGCCCACCAGGCTCCTCTGTCCATGGGATTTCCCAGGCAAGAATACTGGAGTGGGTTGCCATTTCCTCCTCCAGGAGATCTTCCCAACCCAGGGATGGAACCTGCGTTTCATACACTGCAGGCAGATTCCTTCTGGCTGAGCCACCAGGAAAGCCAAGCTTTAGAGACATCAAGCAAACTAAAAAAGAAAAGATCTCTGGTGAGAAGCCTTACTGAGACGGGGAAAAAGCGAGGGCTGCAGGCAAAAGCGCCCCCACCTCAGCGGCTCCGTCCTGAAAGCCAGCTGCCCCCAGGAACCCCACCCAAGGCCTGCCTTCAGGAAGAGCCCCTGGACCCCAGGGGACGAGGGAACCACTTTAAAGCCCCACATTATCTTTCTACATGTACTCTAGGGGGCTAAGCAACAATGGAGAAGTGTTTTATCCACCAGGTGTTGGCCTCATGCAATTAAGACACCGTGGTGCCTCCTGGCCAGGGGGAGCAGGAGGCAGAGGCCGCAACACCCCCTCACAGTCCGCAGGGGCGGCGGCCCCGACTCACCTGTGCTTGCTGAACTTTCCATTCCCACGAGCACACTGCCCCCCTCACCCCCGCTCCGACTGCTCTGTGCTGAGGCTGCCTTTCGCTGTCTTGTTCTGCAAGGGGGGGACAGGGCATGGGAGGGGAGGCTGACGTCGGCAAAGCCAAGGAGACGAGACAGGAGGGACAGAGAACGAGCGTGCGGGTCAGGGCAGGCGGAGGTGAGGCGAGGAACGCACATGGAAAAGGAAAGAAAAAGCAGAGAGTCAGTACTGAACGACATATAGGAGATACTTAAGACAGGGCAAAAGACTGAGGCAAAATATGACACTTCAAAAAGGGAAGTTTAAAAAAATAAAAATGCAAATTAAGTAA